ATATATACATATATATATATATACATATATATATGTATATAGACAGATATAGAAAAAAGGTAAATATGATATAGATCGATGTAGATAGATATAGATAGATGTACATAGTAGATAGATAGAGATAGACAGATGGAGATAAATAGATATAGATCGATGTAGATAGATATAGATACACACACGCACACACACAGAGATATATATATATATATGTTGATAAACATGTATTTTCCATAATTCTTTTTCATTCACTTCCAACTGGACCTGGTCGACCTTCCACCCTTCGAGCTCCAGGTGACGGATGTTTCCCCCCGGGACGGTCTTCAAAATGAAGCTGCTGGGGGACCCAAACTCGGGGGGGATGAACATGTGGCTTGGAATTCGCTGAATTTGCTAAAAAAATTGGCTCCTTTTGTTCAAAATTTCGATTGAAGCATGCTGGAAACACCGTCGATTTTGAACCCGGGGAGACCCCCCCCAATGACAGGTCCTTGTCCTTGTCTGCTTTGAAAAGCCCCCAATCTTCGCACGATTGCAGAAGCACATTTTAGCACAATGTCCAAGATAGAAAAGAACATCCGATTTGCAACAGAGTTTCTACCCAAGTGTGGATCGATGTTTTCAGATGTTGCCATTCAAGATGCTCAATTTGAGCCTCTGCGCCAATTTGGGAAATAGCTGTTCCATTGATGAATCGTCAAGTCCGGCAAGAATCGCTTCTCCATCCAACCACCTAGCCGTAAGATTCGTCAGCAGACTGTCAGACCCCGACATTCACCAAGTCCCTCTACCGTTGGACCCTAGCGCCCACGAATATGCTCGGCTCGGTCCTGAAATTTAGGAGGTAAGATTGGATGAAATACTACCAGACTAAATATAGAGACTATTATGATAAATCCTATATTTGCAGATTATCATATACACTGACTTGTTGATCATGTGTTCATAGATTAAACTCTAGGGACTTGGATGTTGTTGGCCAGTTGGTACGTAGATCTCTTGTGATCTTCACGTCCCGGGTGCCATGGTGCGCATGATCCAACTCCCTTGCGCCCCTGTACGACTCTTGCGCCGCGTCATGCGACAACTCGCTCCCCTGCGATGGGCGGCGGTGGCTTGGACGTCGACCACTGGGCTGGAAACCTCCAGAACGATATAGAACGATCCAGAAAAATCCCACTAAAACTTAACATACTAATACGTACTAAACATTTGCCAAAAATCACAGTAAGTTGGAGGATTTAATAAATCAAGCAGTTATTTAAGGTATCGGCTTAGGGTGTCTCTAGCGACACACAGGGACCCCCGAACGCTTCTTACCTTAGCGGATCTGTGCGAAGCCATTGGCAGCATCCGCGGGCGGCTTCTTTGCGTCGCCTTTTGTTGCCGGTCCAGGGCAGGCCGGCAACCACCATCAACTTTGTCGACACAATCGGGCTTGCATTTGGTGGTCAATTCTTCATCCCACTTTCTTCTGCTCCCCTTTTTGGTCGATTGTTTCGCTTCGATTTAATCTGAACTGGTTACGCCCTGGATTATTTCGTTGCGGGTTGGACACTATTTCCTGGTGTATTTCCCCGAGTTCGGGCTTACATGGGTTTGGTGCACCACATCCTTTTGATCTTCATTGTCTTCTTTGTGGATTTTGTGAGCTTCTCCAACAAGGTTGTCGCAGAGCTCTATCAGCAACACGGCTTTGGCAACGAAGCGGCGAGCACTGAGGCGACAGAGAGCGACTGCACGTCGTCTGTGGCACCTCCATCGCAAGGTCATCGCCCTCTTCGGCCACATCAACTGTTGCAGATCTACCGCGTATTGAGACAGCATCATTCGAAAGACCAAGCATTTTTGCGCCTGATTTCCAGCGCAATGGCCGACACAACACCTTGGCGGTGTTTGAGCTGCAAACAGCTCAGGAAACACACAGCAACGTATTGCTGCAACCAGCCCTGGCAAAATGTTATCGATCGATCCTATGTCCACCAGCACAGACAAGGGCAAGGCGATCACTATGCACAGGATTGGGGACAAGACCAACCGTGGGGTCAAAGTTGGCGAGCCGAATCTCCTCGACAACGAGTTCAGTCTCCACGGCACCGCAAGGGCAAACCGAAAGGTGGCAATGCGCCCAGAAGCAAATCACGTGGACATGGTCAAGGACCTCCACAACCATCGCAACAAGGCCCAGGCAAGGGCAAACAAGGACAAGCTCCTCAGGCTCCCTTGCCACCGCCTCCAATGCCATGGCCAGGGTACATGCCCATGGGTCAAGCCATGCCCATGATGATGCCAGCCATGTCACATGTGCCTCCCATGCAAATGGCTCCAACAGGTGCCCCAGCTATGATGCCACAGATGCAGCACACAGCAGGGACGGCCTCAGCATTGACTCCCGAGCAGCAAGCACGAGAGCACAAAATGCAAGAGCTGATGGCCTATCTGAAACGTCGTGGACCAGACTTGCCGCAAGATGTGTCTCAGAAGGTCCACGAATTTTCCAAGAAAGATGGAGCACAAGCAAAGAAAGATTTGCAGACAGCAGCCAAGGCATTAGGAGAGGCCAAAGATGCATTAGAAGCAGCGCTTCAAGCGCGCACGAATCTGATCGCATCATGGAACACTTTCCTCACCGACGCTGTTCGAACGTGGAAGGAATATGCCATCTTGTTCCAAACGCAGGAGGCAGAGCATCAAGAGCGGATCCAAACTGCTCGAGAGGTCTTCATCGCGGCCAAGGAGAACGTCGACGATGCCAAGACGGCAGTTGGAGAGGTCATCGAGGTGAACGACGACGAAGAGGACCTTGCAGGCCCTTCAAACGCAGCCACCTCCGAAAAGATCACGGAGAGCATGCGATTCATGACAGCTTCCTTGGCGCAGTTCCAACAGAAGGCCGAGGAAATCCAGTCAGAAGTCCAATCTTCGCTCAAGCGTCCAAGACTGACTCCACCGGAGACTCTGGATGCCAACATGCCATCACCAAAAGAAGAAGCGGCAGTCGATGGAAACGCTTCTTCGGCGCTGCCTGCTGCTATGCAGCCTTTTGCGGCGGCCGGTCGTCCATGACTGAAGTGTATGACGACCAATGGCCAGTGCTGGTCGAGAATGCGTATGGCAATGTTCCATCAATTCTCAAATGGACTCATAGCATTATCCATGAATGGAACTTCAAGTCAGAATGGCAAGCCAGAGAAGATGCTAGAGGGCTAGCGTTTGAAATGGCGCAAGATGGTATTCTGACTTCACTTTCAGTGTTCCCTTCTCCTGCAGTTCCCGTCAAAAGGAAGACATCATGCAAATCAGTTACATTTGCACTCAATTTGGATGACAAAGAGAATTGCGCAGTTTCCGCAGTGAATGTTCCGGGCTTGGTTCAATGTAAGCCTAATCCTGCCGAACGCGCCCAAGTACCTGATCCAGGAGGGCCACCACAACATGACCAAGATCGTCCTGACCATCATGCCCATGGACAGACTTTTCTTGATCGCCCTTACTGGCAGCAACAAATTTGGCAGCGGCTCCAAGAAGAAGGTGATGATGCAGATCAAGCAGAAGACGGTCCAGTTTTGTTTATGAACTCGTACTTTATTTGTCATGCAACTCACCGTCGACAAGAACAAAGCAGACCCCTGCGTTTTGACGCCAATATCGACACCTGGGAGGAAGACATGAGGTTTGTCTGGGAAGACCTTGCGTCCCCAGCTTTGCCGCTTTCGGTGCATTTGGTTACACCGGAGCCGCCTTTTTCCGTGCGACCAGGAACGGCAGGAACGTTGTTACTGGTGCAAAGCCCTCAGCCTTTTCTATCAGCGTGTTTGATTACGACCGTGGAGCCTGCTTTGCCTCGAATGCACATCACAGAGGTTGCGCAATCCTTTGACATCATAGTTCCATTTCGGCACATTCTTTTTCATGCTGGAGTTGGAGCACGATGTGACGAAAGACGAGCTCAGCGCATTGGTGGTTGTGAAGTTCGAGTACGTCGTCGAATTCTCCCGCAAGGACAACCAGTTCGACTTCATGAAGGCATGGGTTTGATTGTCGACGTTCCTCCACCAATGTCACAGCGAGATTGGGAACGGCAAGTTCTTGCACAGATTCCGCCATTGACTCCAAATGTCTGGCCAGATGACCCAGAGGAAACGTCATTCCTTGCACATTCTGTACGACCGCCTCAGGAGCAAACTCCCATCATGGACAACACCGATATTGCGCAAGACCCAAATGACCTACAACCTCAGCATGATTCTGAAAGTTCCTCTTCCAATGTCTCTTCGCCATCAAGTTCCATGACAGATTGTCCTGAAACATGGCAAGACACGCTTGTGCTGACACTACATGGGCAACCCGTACTGTTGCACCTTCCATGGCATGATCGCCAGGCAATGTTGCAACAGTTACAGCATGCGCTTGATTCAGACAATGATCGATTGGTTTCCATTCACCATGTCAACACAATACCAGAAGACATCCAGCAGATTGCGCATGAGTGCCTATTGGTTGAAATGTCATCAAGCCCGTCATGTTCACCAATCATGCGATTGATTTTGGTTGATATTGAAGTGTATCCACCTGGAGAACATCAGCCAGTGGTTTTCAGTCGCAAACCAATTTGGATGCCACAGATTGCCAATCGCTTGACGGTCTTTCGACTCCTTGGCATCGAAGACCACTATCAAGCCAATCCATTGCGTGGGCATCTCTGGTTGAACCACATTTGGATTTCACATGATGACGCGATGCCATTACAATTTCTTCATGGAGATTTTCTTGCAGCAGTGATCCAAGATGCTCAAACTTCTCATTCCATGCATGATGAAGAAGATGTTGCATCCCTCTTCCAAGGAGGTCGACACAGTGATGCTCCCCTTCCAGGATGTGTTCATCAATGCAGTCGCACCAATGCTGCAAGTGCTCCCAATGTACTTCATACAGCATCGACATCCACAACCTCATCATTAGCCTCTTCCACGAGCGACAACACTTGGCTGTTACCAGTCGGCATGTCTGTTGTGCAACATGCACAAGTCATTGATGATGAAGGGCACGCCGAGGTTGAATGGATCACCTGGCATATGTGCCCCCATGTGCGACTCCGCAGTGACGATGCTCGACATATTCGATTCGATATTGAACAACATGCTTGGCTTCAAGATCTACAACACCTCTGGCGTGATCAATGGATTCCACATTTGGCTGCTCGCATTCTGGTCGTTGATCCTTTTCCGCCAAAGGCGCCACATGAGCACCATGTTGGCCATCTTTTGATCGTACAAGGCAACCTTCCTCAGCATGTGCCAGTCTTGACCACGACAGTGTTTGAGTCCGCACTTGGAAGACGTCTCTCTCACCAAGCGTGTTTTCTTTCGCAGCACTTCGAACCAGCTCAGCTTTTTCAAATCATGCGGCTTGAAGCCATCTGTCAGATGCGTAGCTGTCGGATTGCTCTAGCGGGCCATGATGTACCTCTTCAAGGTATCGGACATGCCGCAGCTGGTGACAATGTCAAAGTTCATGTGACACCGAGTGCTACTGCTGGTGCATCCTTGTTTCAGACAGCCGCCGTGACCAGCAAGCAGGTATCTTATCATCCAGACACCCCTGCTGCATCCTCTACATCACCTGAAGTATGTCATGATGCACTTGAAATGCCTTGGATCAGCCGGACGGATGAACGATTTGTGTTTAATCCAGCAGCCCCGGCCTTCGAACCTGGGCGAATCCATCTGGCAGGGCAATCTGAATTTATACAAGATCTCTACAGCCAATGGTACCAACACGCATTTGCATGGGAAGGCGAGGTGCCTTCATGTGTCATTCTCACATGGATGGTCGATCACACGTGGGAACAGCCTCATGGATTTCTTCCACGCCCTGTACGGCTCCACGATGACTATGACGCATGGGAAGATCACATCCGTCAGGCTTGGCGAGACCTTCTGCATCCAGATGCTCCCTATGAGATCTCCCTCGTGCTCCCAAAGCCTCCCACTCAAGACAATACGATGGTTGCGCACGTGGTCTTGATTCAACATCCACGTGAAGATTGGGTCACAAGCGTTGTCACATGTTTTGACAACAGTGTCACTCCTCAAGCAGTGCACCAAGCCGCCATCACTACGCATGAACACATCATTCTTGAAAACCTGCTTCGTGTTCTCAACTATTTTCATGCATGCAGTGGCACAAACCCAACACACTGGTGCGAAGCATGGTATCACGACCTTCCTCTTCGTATCGGTGTACCCGTTCCTGGTCACCATGGGTATGGCATTGTAATCCATGTGAACCGTCGTGAACATCGTGAACACGAAGATCGCACTGATGCCTTGAATCTTCTTCAGTTGCAATCTACAGTGCAGAAAAGATCATCTTGGGAGCGCCTAACAACTGATGCGGTGGCTCAGGCTCAGTGGCCCCAAGATAGATCCACATCTCCGAAACCTGTCGGGGATCCACTTCCCCTTCAGGAACTCATTCCTGCACCAACCTATATTAACATCGACTTCACCAAGGTGATTCATCTGCGGACCAAGCTTCTTTTGTTGGACCTTGGACCTGTTCAACCACGAGCAAGCGTTGTGAAATGGCACTTGTCCACACAGGAGGCGCTTCAATGCATTCCTGACTGGCAAGGTGACATGCCCTCAGGATTATCCTTCTTTACTGATGGATCTGCAGCCTGTCTTCAGGATGACCGACGTGCATCAGCAGCAGTCGTATGCATTGTCCACACTGTTCATGGTGATCAATTTGGCGGTTACCGTTGCTTTGACACAAGTAGTAACGGCTATGCTCCGCATGCTGAAGCGGCCGCCATTTTGACTTCTGTTCTTTGGGCAATCCAGCTCTGTGAAACATCAACGAGCTCCTCAACATGGTCTATTCAGTTCAACTTTGACTGCATGTTTGCAGGTATGACCGCTCAAGGACACTGGTTTGCCAAAGCACATGAGCAGATGCAACATACGACTCGAGCACTGGTCCAATGGATGGAAGCTCGATATGCAGTCCAGACCCAATGGGTGCACGTACCAGCTCATCAAGGACATCCATGGAATGAAGCAGCAGATGCTGCAGCATGGGCCGCAGTATCCGCATGGATCCCGCAGATGGACTTCCAGATCCTCACTCAATCTCTCCTTGCAGAACAACCCGCAGTTGCATGGCTATGGTTGCTTGACAAGGCCGAGCAAGGTCATCCTGCCTTTCCCAGCATCCAGCAAGGTGTGATGAAGGTGAATGCCTCTGCAGCATTACATCCTGCACCTCAAGCAGATGATCATCCCTATGTGACCAAGTCCGAACGATGCCAACTTCCGCTTGAGACTGTCTCCTTTGAGCTGACTTGCGCAACTGCCAACGTTCTGACCCTATATCAGAACCGAGCTGAACATGGTCGAGGTCTCACTGCGAGAATGGAAGCCTTGGTTCGCGCCTTCGAGAACGAAGGGATCATGGTCATTGGCGTCCAGGAGACTCGATCTCAAATGCAAGGGCACAGCATGTGCCTTGACTATCATGTTCTTGCTGCCCCTGCCACTGTACAGGGAGTTGGAGGTGTGCAATTATGGGTAAAACGCAAATGGAAGACCAAGCGTGGAATCATCCAGATCTCTCATGCCAATTTGCGCATTGTTCATGCCAACCCTCAGTCCATGGTGGTCAAACTTGCGCACGATGAGCTTCGGCTGGTTTTTCTGGTAGGCCATGCCCCAAATTGTTCAACGTTTGAAACTGCCACAGCCTATTGGACTCAGTTGAGTCATGCCATTCCAACTGCATTGCGCTCTTGGCCATTGATTGGACTTGTAGATGCCAATGCTCGTGTAGGTTCTGTTGTCTCAGAGGCTATTGGCCATTTTGGACAAGAAACTGAGAACCTCTCTGGCGAATGTTTCCATCAGTGGCTACATGACCAATCACTGTTTTTGCCACAAACGTTTGAACATTATCATCATGGTGAGCATGACACTTGGACTCACAGCACGGGCACCACAGCAAGGATCGATTACATTGTAGTTGATCAAGCTTTGCGACAAGACGGCATTCGAACGAGCATTGCCCCAGTTGACTTGACGCTCCATCAAGCTGATCATTGCAGTGTGCAGGCTTGTATTCCTATTCAGTGCCAGATTGCCAGACATGATCGACCCAAATTACCAACCACTCTGCAATCAGCTGCGCCGCCGCACCTGAGCTGTGACTCTGATGTCCACACGCATGCAGCGGCCCTGCAAAAATGGATGCAAGCGTCTCAGCCTCCACGTGACAAAGCACGCTGCCGAAAGCACCATTTGCAGGAATCTACGTGGACCATGATCAAAGCCAAACGATTCCATTGGAACCGTCTGCGCCAACTCAAACGCACCCTTCGACAGAGCATCCTACACGAACTTTTTCAAACCTGGAAATGCAAGAAGGTGCATGAAGATGTGACGTGCCTTCGACCCTGGCTGCGCCTCACTGACCAAGCCATTGCTTTACATAGCTGGCAACATCAGCGCCTATGCGCAGCTGTCACTTCGGCAGTTCGACATGACGATCAGCACTTCTATGCTGCCCTTGCCGATGAACAAGGTGCTGTTGCTGCTGATGAGGGCTTGACAGGATTGTGGCGCAAGATCAAGCACCTCCTCCCAAAAGGTGTTGCCAGAAAGAAAGCCAACATACGCTGTATTGGCCCGCAAGTTGATGACCTCACAGCCCATTATTCTCAACTTGAAGCCGGCCGAGAAATTGCATATGAAGACTTGCTTCAGCAATGTGCTCGCCGCCAATCTGATGCACAAACAGATCTGCCCTTGCAAATCCAGCTATCCGACTTGCCGACCCGGGTTGAAGTTGAACAGATGTGCAAGCTGGCCAAAAAGCGTAAAGCTCCAGGCCTAGATGGAGTCCAAGCAGAGCATCTTCAAGCCCTCATGAGTGCCCATTCTGATGTATTTTTCCAGCTGCTCTTCAAAATGTGGACTGTTGCAGCAGAACCTATTCAATTTAAAGGTGGATATATCTGCTCTATCGCGAAAAAACATGGAGCACTTACTGCATCAGGCATGAGAGGGATAATGCTCCTCGACGTGCTTGGAAAACTTCACCACAGCCTTATGCGCCGCAAGTTGCTTCCATGGGCCTCGCAAAACCGCATGGAAACTCAATTCGGTGGTTTTAGAGGGCAGCAAACTGTGTTTGCCTCGCTGCTTCTTCGCAGTTATGCAAAAGTGATCGAAGCCAAGAAGGTGTCGCTTGCCATCATCTTCGTTGATGTGAAGAATGCCTTCCACTGCATGCTGCGACAACACACGTTTGCAACCTCCATGCACTTGCCGGCCAAACTGCAGCATATCCTCGCAGCAGAAGGCTTGAATCCTGAGCAGATCACGAACGACATTGCGCTCCATGCTCGTGCATTTGACAATGCTCCTGCCACCATTGCTCGGCTCATTAAGGATGCGCATTGTGACACTTGGTTCACATGCCCAGGATCCGACAAGTGCTTTGAAACGACACGGGGCTCCCGTCCTGGATCCCCTATCGCCGATTTAGCCTACAACATCATGACCAGTGCCCTCATGAAAGAGCTCCAAGTTGCCTTGCATCAGATTCCCCTTATCCAGCAAGCCAACAGTTTCATGGAATGCCTTTCGCCCACCATTGCATGGGTTGATGACATCGCCTTGCCGTTACCCTGCCTTCAAGCCAATGATTTGGATCCACTGATCTCTGATGTTATGCAGAAAGTGCATCAGATTTTCAGAAGTTACGGGCTTCGCCTGAACTGTGCGCCTGGCAAAACTGAAGCCATTGTGCAATATCAGGGTCATGGTGCCCCTGAACGTCGACAGGCTCGAGTTCTTGATGAGTTCAGTCGATTAGACGTTCCCGGACATGATCCTTTGCATGTTGTCACGCAGTACACCCACCTGGGGATTGTCGTTGCGCAGACGTGTGACTTGCGTCAAGACTTGAAGGTGAAGATTGGCAAGGCATGTGCAGCATACCGAAGCATGAGCAAAAGCATCTTTCTGAACAGACGCCTCACCATACCGCTTCGACTGAAGCTTCTTGATGCCTTGGTGATGCCCATTGTCTTTTACGGCAGTGGCAGTTGGCCGTTACTGAATGCTCGGCAGTTTCAACATCTGTCATCAGTCATCACGAAATGGCAAAGGCAGATTGCAGGAGATGGTTTTTGGAAAACTACTACCATCACAGATGCAGAATTCCGTGCTCGATGGCGCATTCCTCCACTCGCTGTTCGTTTGGCCAAGCACCGGCTGCTCTTTTTGCTTCAGTTGCACCACCATGGACCTCGCATTGTTTGGGATGTCATCACAGCGGAGGATTTTCTTTGTCGTTCCACTTGGTTTGATGCACTGCGGCATGCTTTTCAATGGTTGAGCACCATGATTCCAGATTTTCCTGTGCAGGAATGGACATGTGAGGAAATTTTGCAATGGACGCATGATGCACATGCAAAGATGCCCAATACCATCAGGCGTGCAGTGGCGCGCTACCTCACGCAAGAGCAGACAATTCACCATGTTGCGTCTATGCACAGAGACATCAAACAGATCTGCCAAGAGCATGGAGTTTGTTTCGATGACCCACCAGCAGCAACCAATGATGGTTTGCTGCATGATGTTTTTGCCTGTCCCACTTGTTCGAAGCGATTCTCCACCATTCAGGGCTTGACAGCTCACCGCTGGAAGCAGCATGGACACATTTCTGAGGAGCGCAGATTTGTATACAATGGAGTTTGCGAAGGATGCCGCAAATGCTTCTGGACCGCCCAACGCCTCCAACAGCATCTTCGCTATTCCAAAAGGAAACCCAATGGGTGCTTTTGGTGGGTGTCTCAGCATTTGGATCCGCTTGACCAACCGGCGCCAGTTGCTATGCCCGACATTTTTCGTGGCCAACACCGCCTCCCTTGTGTTGCTGCAGCAGGGCCTGACCCCCAGACAGTTTCTACACGTTGGAGTCGAGTACATCAACATGATTGGGAAGTTTGGCAAGCTGAATGGCGCAAGCAGGGATTTCCGGATGAACTATCCAGCAGTCTTTGTGATGCAGTTCATGACGCTCTCTCTGCAGCTACACTGAAATGGTGCTCGGATCCTACGTGTGATCTCACATGGATGTGGTGCGAGATTGTGGAGGAGTACAGTCAAGACGCTGCTCTACATCCTCAAGCTATTTGGGCCTTTGCTTTGTGGGGACGAGTCTCTATGTATGATGTCATTGACCAGATTGAGGATGTGGATCACAAGCTCCATGTGGAAGAGCAGTATCTGCATTTGGTTTACGAAATGCCCGTCGCTGGCTTGTTGGACCGACTGGAGCGTTTGCACCGTGCTGCGCCTCCCGCTCCATCCACCTCGCCAGAACCGCCTTCAGCCTGTGATTATCGACAACCACAACCTGCTGAGCCTTTTCCTAATGCCTATGACCACAGTGCTCACTTGCTAGGCCCGGTAAATAACCCTGAGGTTTGCACATGGCCTGCTCAGACTGGCGTGCCAATCTGCGAGTTTCCTGATGGACGTCGAGTGCTCATCATCTTGCATCTTTTTTCAGGACGCCGTAGAGAAGGAGATTGCCACGACTGGGCTGCTCAATTGGTTTCGCAATACCTGCCAGGATATGAAGTCATGATGCTCTCCATCGATACCGCAGTCGGTGGTACGCTATGTGACCTTCTGTCTGGCCCCGGTTTGGACTCCCTTATGCGCATTGTGCGGTGTGGTCTTATCACAGGATCGCTCTCTGGACCACCGTGTGAGACATGGAGTGCTGCGAGGCACTTGCCTCCACCACCACAAATTGTGGCACGCTGGCCTCGACCATTGCGGTCGTCGGAACGTGCATGGGGATTGGATTTCCTCACGCACCGAGAATTGCACCAGCTGGCAACAGGCAGTGCACTAATGCTCTCCAACCTCAAGATCGAGCTCATAGTGGTGCTCAATGGTGGAGCTGCACTTCTTGAGCATCCTGACATTCCTGAGGATCCTGCATATGCCAGTGTGTGGCGGATACCACTCCAACATCGCATTTGCGGAGCTGCTCCAGGACATCAACGTCTACACATCCAGCAATGGAGATATGGTGCGCCAGCCGTCAAACCTACGCTCATCAGAGCAATGGGACTGCCGCGCTCCGCTACCACATTGCATGGTCAAGCCATACCAGGCCTGCAGAAACCAATCAACACTCTGGCGGGACGTGATGATCAGACTGGCCAATTCAGAACCGCGTGTGCAAAGGAATATCCATCAGGGCTGTGCCGTGCACTGGTTGTCACCCTGTTTTCCGGACTTGCACGACGAATGAAGTCTGAGGGGACTCTCATTCGGAATGTGTCTCTGCTCGAAGAGCGAGACAGACAATGGCTGGACTGCGTCGCCACAGTGTCTGCGAGCAGTTTTTCCAGCGCATTTTTGCCGGACTATCAGCCGAAGCGCTGATTCCCTCTTGCGGACGTTTGCAAGACAGCACGGGCCAGAGGACCCATCAGCTGCAGAATGGACCCTAGCGCCCACGAATATGCTCGGCTCGGTCCTGAAATTTAGGAGGTAAGATTGGATGAAATACTACCAGACTAAATATAGAGACTATTATGATAAATCCTATATTTGCAGATTATCATATACACTGACTTGTTGATCATGTGTTCATAGATTAAACTCTAGGGACTTGGATGTTGTTGGCCAGTTGGTACGTAGATCTCTTGTGATCTTCACGTCCCGGGTGCCATGGTGCGCATGATCCAACTCCCTTGCGCCCCTGTACGACTCTTGCGCCGCGTCATGCGACAACTCGCTCCCCTGCGATGGGCGGCGGTGGCTTGGACGTCGACCACTGGGCTGGAAACCTCCAGAACGATATAGAACGATCCAGAAAAATCCCACTAAAACTTAACATACTAATACGTACTAAACATTTGCCAAAAATCACAGTAAGTTGGAGGATTTAATAAATCAAGCAGTTATTTGCTGTTCCAAGCGCTAGATCCTGCAATTAGGGCATTGGCCGCTGTAAAAATTGGAATGTTAGTGGGAAAAAAAGGCAAGACCTTGAAGTTATCCAGTGAATCAGTGAAAGATCTGAATGTGGGTGTGGCCCATTGGCCATTGGCACATTTGGCATTCAGAAGCACAGTTGCTTGATGTTGCTTGAGAAGTTCCACTGCATAAAGCGTTCACTGTTGCAAGTTAAGCAGATTGATCAATTCTTCAGCAAGGAACTTAACTTCCAAGAAAGCGCTTTAAGAGGCAAAAGGTACTGCTTGGGTAGCATATTTTCACTTTGGGGGTGCCACTACCGTGAATATGACTTTGGTTGAGGATTGGTGAGGTACACATGGTAGTAGTACCTGAGTTTAAAATAGTTTAAAGAGCAAGTTCTAGAGTGGTTTATCTGGTTTATCATTGGAACATGGGTAGGAAACACCCCATGTTTTCTAGGATTTGCCCATGGGTGAATACCCCAAGAAGTCCAGTAAGCCTACTTTTATGGGATCACCGTGGGCAAAACCATAACCGACTTGGATGATCCTCCATGGTCTCCAGCCAGCAAGCCATGAGCCCATGAAGTACCACATGGTAATGGTCAAGGCGATGCCGACAAACCCAGTAGCGAATCAAGTTTCTTCTCCGACATTCTGAAAATTTCTAAGTCATATTTATAAATCTAAAGGAACCATAGAGAATCACACGCATGCACATACACACAGATAGATAAATAGATAGAATAGAATGATGGATAGATCGATGGATAGATAGACAATGATCGATAGACAGATAGATAGATATACGCACAATCTAGCCATTCCCCAGCATCACCAACGTCCCTGCAGCGTTTGAGGCGCGGCTGCCACCGGCCTCAGCGGACGATGGGACAGCCTTGGGCCTTCAATGCGTCGGCGTCGCGCGCGGTGCGCCGGGGAAGGTCCAGGCCTTTGGGCGTTTGGAGGCGCTGATGGATGTCAGGGACCACGAAGGGATCAGGTGGGGCTCGGGTGGTTTTTGGCAGCGGCTGAATTGGCTGAAGTTTGGGGCTAAGGAGATCAAAGGAGATCAAGTGTATCAAGTGTTTAAAAATGGAGTTGCTGGTTGGTGGTTTGGAACATTTGGATTATTTTTCCATATATTGGGAATGTCATCATCCCAACTGTTACTTACTCCATCATTTTTCAGAGGGTTGATTGGCTGATGCAAACGTGGGGGGTGCCATGTCTCTATGGCACTGGGAAATTCACGGCTGAAACCAGGGAAACTGTCCGGGTCGCAGGAGTCAAACAACTTGGCCATGTCGTTAGGCTGCTGGGAGCCCCACTCGACACGGGCGATGGCAGGCCAGCCAACAAAATGGAGGTTGCAGCCACGCTGAGAACCTTGAAATTTGAGAAAATCAGTGCAAGAAGACGGAAGATGACCAAGGTTTTCACATACACACATGCATTTTCCTGCACACACCCAGATATGTGTATATATATGTATATATAATATACTCGTAATATGTATGGATATGTATTTACACACACTTACAATACACTTACATATGTATATATATATATATATGTATGTATGTATGTATGTATGTATGTATGTATGTATGTATGTATGTATGTATGTATGTAATGTATGTAATGTATGTAATGTATGTAATGTATGTATGTATGTATGTATGTATGTTATGTATGTATGTATGTATGTTATGTATGTATGTTATGTATGTATGTTATGTATGTATGTAGTTATGTATGTATGTAGTTATGTATGTATGTATGTATGTATGTATGTATGTATGTATGTATGTATGTATGTATGTATGTATGTATGTATGTATGTATGTAGTATGTATGTATGTATGTATGTATGTATGTATGTATGTATGTATGTATGTATGTATGTATGTATGTATGTATGTATGTATGTATGTATGTATGTATGTTGAGATTGGCCATGGAACCTGGCCACTCCATTCAATTTCTGCGCGTAGTCTTTTGCTCAGGCAACCGGTTGAACTTCCCGAGTGTCACCCCATGTGGCTAGACGTGAGATGCGGGGGGTGGCCAACCACGTTAAGATCTCGGGTGATAGCTCAGATAGTCACTGGTTCGCTGATGGTGTGATTGTATGATGATATAATATGAAGTATATAGTTGCGTGTGTGTGTGTGTGTGCGTGCATGTGAGCGGGGAGCTAAATGATCGTCATGTAAATTGAGACCCTTCACGGTCACTGCAGATATTATATATCAGATAATTGCTACTGATTAATTCTACTTGTGTAGGACTTAGTAGATGGTCTTTTGTATCGACGATCCACAGCAATCGGCTACTCCTTGGAGCCGTGACGACGTCCACGACCCGACCTGATCCAAGAAGAAAAGTCGTCAAGTGAAGCAACAGACGTGGGAAATTCACACATATTTCTAGAATTTTCTAGATATATATTTCGATACTGTTACATTTTTACATGTTCGTGCACAGATTTAATGACTGCAGAAAGACATATGTTTTTTCATCACTGACTTCTTATATTGTTTGATTCATTTTTAGCCAGATGTTAATTCCGACTAAATGTGATAAATCAAAAAATCCCCATTGAATTCCCATCCTCCCTCCTTCATTTTCCTCATCGTCCCAGGCTCTCCTCATCTTTGCAACGTCTCGGCCGACACTTGCACCAGCTGCTGCTTCGTCATGTTGCTCGAAGGGGCTGGAGCCTGGGAGCCTGTGATCCGCGGAAAACATGACGTTTGTTTGGTCCAACAGGTACCTTTTGGTCACCAAACTTGGCTGGGAAATCTCTTGAACTGGAGTTTTTTTTTCTTCGGCTTAATGAGAAACCATAAGAGAACATCATCTATAAATGCGGGATTTTTTGTTGCCATGTTTGATTTCCGATGATTACAGAAGGTAGCTGAACATGTGTCGATGAATAAATCTTGCCTATTTGTTGCTCTTACCAGATCTGGCCACTATATGCACCTTGATCCTCAAAAGACCCATGAAAGCAGGTTTAAGTATGCAGCAGTAAGAAATTGCACAAGTAGAATACCTGACATATCCATGCTTGTTGCTGGTAGGTCGGCAATTTATTGTTTTTGAAGTCTTTTCCTTAAACGATGATCCCCCATCAGCCACTGTACGTAGTTTCGAGGTGCTGAAACCACCTTTGAACCAGGGATGACCCTCCATCGCTCCTTGATGTCATGAGGATTCAACCACAACTCCCAGGATCTATTAAGGGCTGATTAACGACCAACAGCTAATGGCGCATCTTCATAAATCTTACCCGTGGATTGGGAGGTCACCGGTGGAAACCGCGTTGAATCCTGATAGGAGCCTCGATGGCGAATGGTCCCACGAGTTGTTATTGAACCTCTACAGCCAGAGTTCTCATGGAGCAGCGCCCCTTGCGCCGAAGCTGTACGTGCACAAAGATTTGTCTGCCTTGACGCTTCTGTCTCTTGCATCTTTGCGGAGAGTGTTTGACAATATGTTTACCCTACTGAAATGAACCGAAAAAGATTGGAAAAAAAATGCTATTTGAGATTAGTTGTTTTTTTCTTGGTGTGGGGCTGTTCCTTGCTAAATTTGAAGGATGTGTTTGTTTGTGTGGGTTCCTGCTCTTTCTATCCAGAGGCATGCACGGGCAGGGGCTCGAACTGGGGGGCTGCAAAGAATACTGCTGTGACCTTATCACCTACCAACGCAATTAAACAACAATCAACTGTGAAAATTACAAACAGCGCAACAGAGAAATGAACACACACACACATGCACGTACACACACACACACATAAACAAAATAAGCAAAACACATAAATAAATTGGCGAATGTATAATTAAATATCGATAAATAAGGTCGTTAATTAAACAATTTGGATAAATAAATAGAGACATAAATAAAGAAATATGAATATAATATGTAATATCTACCAGCCCCCTCCAAGGGCCTACCAATTGAAGGCCATTTGACCAGGTCGCCAATGGGGGGCCGTTTCATTTATAGATTGTATGAACCTTGAATATGATGATGTTATGCCAGGATCACTTTAATGTTCCGAGGGCCACGGACAGGTGCTGCACATGCCGCCGCAGCCTGCGCTGGCTGGATCGGGGGTGTGGTCTGGCTAGTTGGTGAATAAAAAAATGTATTCAACATGCTTCAATGTTCAAGCATATTAAGAGCGGAATACCAAATATATTAGGAATGTCTTTCAAACAACCTAGGTATAAGAGGTTTCAAAGTGTTCGCACTCGCCCGTGTTTGGAGCCATGCCGAACCACCAAATGGGACCTCAAACAAAGAACCTTGGCATGATATATGCATGGCTTAAGTGATGTTTGTTGTTTCATTCTGAAGTCACTTTCGTTGGATCTATTTCCAGCTCATCTGTCAGATCTTAGGACTTTGGTCGAACACATGGTGGCGAAAATGCCTAAGGGCAAATCTATTGAGGACGACCTGGTTTGCGGTGGTGATCTGCGGGCTCGGGGAAATGCATGGTTAAGATCCGCTTTTGTTTCCAGTAAGTTGACAAAGGTGCCAAGGGAAAATCAAATACGCATGGCAGTTAAGAAGTTGATGGTCAAACAGAAGATGGGAACCATGGTGGTGAAATGTGATTTTTTTTCTAGTTGTTTCTTTAACGTCTTTGATGTCCCCCATTAGATTGATAGTGCTATGTGGCTGGATAAATGTTAAAATCATCTAAGGAAAAATCCTATCAAGAGATGCTCGCCAAGACTGGGTGCGTCAGCAAGCCACATGGTTTCAGGAACATATGCCTCAGATCGTTTCAGCATATGTTATTCAAATTAATTCAGCATCTTCACCACTGTGTTGATATGGAATCTGAGGCTTTCAAATGTCACGATATCTTGCTGAAGCACACCAGAGCCAAGCGTAGAGGTTACGCGTACCGATCCCCTACTGATAGCCAATCCAAAGGGATTCTTGCACAAACTTAACTGTTTGTTCTTTTCACTTTCGATTTTGTGACAGATCGGTATGATTTTCTATGTTATCTTATTGTGGAGTTTGGCCAGCTAGCCACTTAGGTCATCAATGGATCAGTTGGAGACACAGCCCGTAGATGAGGATGAGATCCCAAAGCTTGATGACAACGATATGATTCCTGGCAAAATTTTAGCACTGATTCAGCTTTCATTCAAACCAAGGTATTCCAGTGTTGGTACTTGTAACTCGTCCTGTATTCTAGGCCCGGAGTTGATGTCAAAACATTGTAAAGGAAAACCTGTGGCTCTGCTCCAACTACCTCCACTACGGGCCCTGCTACCTCCCTTGACCATGAAACCTCGGAATCGGAATCTTCTACGGATGATGAGGCACTTGTTAATTCTATATTTTTTCAAAAAATGATTGCATTGCTGATATACTCCATTGTATCCAGTGTTTGACATCTCATCCCTGGATATATCTGGCCTACTTGTGGGCTCATCACAGGAGGAAAGTGAAGAAGACAAAGATGACAAAAGCGACACAAAGGCGGAAGAGGTTGGACGGGATGGGAAAGATAAACACCAAAGTACTATATGGCTTTGGGATCTTAGTGGCATGGGTACACTAGTGGCACTTAGGCAATAATTTTTCCTTTTACTACTTTTGGTATAACTTTCAGATCACCTGCGCCTGGTGGGCAGGCTGAAAGCTCAGAAGAGGAGGATGATGATGAGGACAAGGGAGTTGAGAAGACTTGCAATGAGTGGCAGCAAAAGACGCCGCCTTACCACAACTGTTCGAGCGAGGATTCTACTGACAGTGAAGATGAGAAGAAAGGAACAGATGCTGAGGACGACAAGGTTGAGGAAGGTCAGAATGCTGTGAAGAGTGGCAAGGATGATCAAGAAAAGAAACATGAGGAAAAAATTGAGGAAGGGAAGTGTGAGGAGGAAGATGATGAATCCACGAGTGAAGATGAGAAGACAAAAGAAGACGAGAAGACACAAGGAGATGAGAAGACAGAAGAAGGTGAGGAGACAAAAGATGATGAGACAAGTGAGGATGATGATTCCACAGGTGAAGATGAGAAAACGGAAGAACAGAAGGAGATGAAGAACGTGGAGGATGCAAATGAAGATGAAAAGGCGGAAGATAATACTGAGGTGAAGAGTGAGGAGGACACAAGTGAAGATGATGAGGCAGAAAAGGCTGAGGTGAAACTTGAGGAGCAGCATTCGAGCAAAGAGGAGAAGGCAGAAGATGTAAAGGAGGAAATCAGGAACACTGATGATGATGATGATACAAGTGAAGATGAGAAGGGGGAAAACCATGATGAGTCGAAGAGCGAGGATGACACGAGTGAAGAAGAGAAGGCAAACATAGATAAGGATAAGAGCCAGGGAGAGAACAATGAAGAAAAGATGGACAGCTCCGATGTGTCTCTCAATGCCTTGAAAGAAGGTCCAGTACGTCAAGAGGTGGCAGACAAAGCAGGATCAAGTGACAGCAGCGAGAGTGAGACTGATGATGAGACCATGGGACAGAAGAAAGGTCAGACTGAGGTGCCAGAGACACAGAAAGAAGCCGAGATGAGGGAAGAACCGGCTGTTCTGAAAGGACGTGATGATGACAAAGACACTTCAAGCAGTGAAACCGATGAGGAGAACATGGACCAGAAGAATGAGGCAACAGATGAGAATCCAGAACACCAGACGAAAGAAGACAAAGGTGACTCAGAGGCAGAGGATGCAGACATGAGTGACTCTTCTGAGGATGAAAACAATACAAAGACAGAAGAAACAACAGAAGATGCAAAGACACAGAAAGGAAACATAGCAGAAAAGGAAACTCGTGAAGATGAGGATCAGGAGAATGAAAGTAATGATTTAGACGAGGAAAGCCACACGATGAAGACAGAAGGCAAAGAACAGGAGGAAGACAAAAGTGATGATGACTCCACTTCGTCCTCATCTTCCACGTCAAGCACTTCTGAAGATGAGGCAGACACAAAGGCAAAGCAAAAGATTGAGGAGGAAAAATTCAAGCTTGAAGTTGACGAGGCTCGGGATCTCGCTGAGATGGATGCTGCTCACAAGATGCGATACTGGGACTTCTGTCATGGTCTGTATCCAGATTTATCTACTCAAGATGCTTTGAGTCCGGATCTGGAGCCAACAAAGATGGGGGAAGCACCAAGATTTCACCCAGACAAAGTCAGAGATTTCATAATGATCAGCTCCCTGCAGAAGAAGGAACGCAAAGACAAAGGGAAGAGAAAGACTGAGGACAAGACTGGTGAAGGTCAGGGGAAGACTCCCAAAAAACCTCGCTGTGAAAAGCCCACACGTCGACTCCGAAGCAAATCCTCAGGCGTCTTGCCTTCACTATAGTATTTGTCATGTCATTTGCCATCCAATGAAACATATAATATATTCTAGTAGCATAGGTTACATATAGTCACAACCCTAATCAAATAGGTTTTTCAAATCAACATGGAAAAAATCTGAATGAACTATGTTCTTGATCTACAGCTCAGGCCTTTCCCCTCGACCGGCTGAATCGGGTGCCTCTGCCAAGCCGGCTGTGAAGGAGGAGGCCTGACCAGTGGGATAGTTCTCTGAGGGGTTATTTTGAATAAGCCGATGAAATAAGGTTTCATCTCCATCCAAGTTGCTGTAGCCCCCCCCAATGTGGTTATTACTTCTAAATCCAAACATTAAACTACAATAAATATCAATAAATTACATAGTTCTTTTCCAAATCGTTCATGCTTGCTGCTCATAAGGTGGCAGAAGAATCAAAGAGAAAGAACCTGGTGCACAAGGAAAAGTTTGAGGACTTTGCTGACTTCAGCAAGAACTCGTACACTCTTACAATCAGTCGTTGCCAACAATTAGCACTAGCTAAGGCAGGGGGGGGGGTGCCAACCCCAGCAGAGCAGCTAGAACTCATCAACAAACGAAGGGAGAAGAAGAAGTCAAGAGTAGCTAGTGCGAAACCTTGCTGATTAATCGGGTGTTATTTTGTTGTTTGTGAAACTTGTGGACCGTATATCCTAAAAACAAAATTTTATAATTCATGAGGATTGAACTTCTCATTGGGACTCATTTGGGGTAGCTAAGGAAGTTCGATCTCCTGCAACGGGTGGACAATGTGCAGGACGGCTGGGTCGTTGAAATCAGAAAGCGGCTTGAAGGTAAAGCAGCCGGTCAACTATATAAGCTGTGGATCAGCCCACGTGGCACCCAGCTGTGGACAAAGTGTCTTGGACTTGCTGTCTCTGTTAACAGTGTTTAGATATGAAGTTCCCAACATGTATCCATACACCTGGAAATACCTGGAACACGGTAATGATTACCTATCAGCATTGTTTTTGTCGTTCATATTTTTTTCCTGATATGGTGGCATCTGAGGGGCGCTGCTTCTGCTGAAGGGTTTACCGAACAATCGTTCCAGAAGCTTGCGAACATTCAGAAGAATCTGAAGCTGGGTAGGCAGGCAGCGCCGAAAAAGACACCCATGAAAAAGACTAAGGAGTTTCCCAAAATCAAATCGAAGGCAAAGCCTCGGTCAAAGGCCAACAAAAAGGCAGTCTAATTTTGCATCCACATGATGCGCTACCTTTAAAGCCAGCTGGTCCTCGATGTTTGCAGAGTCTTGTTTATGTACAATCATGATGCCTTTTGACATGAAAAAATATAGTTAGTAATTATACCAAATCATTCCTTTTGATTGGTGTGAGGACAGTTGGAGGCTCCAGGCTGATTTCCGATAATGGGGCTTGAATGATCCAGGAAAAATTGTTTGAAGTCAACATCAAACCTTATAAAATTTATAATTTCATTGGTGCTTTCCATAACTTCATTTGAAAATTATTTGTTTTCCAGACTCCTATGGTGTTGGATCAAAAGCCTGGAACTTTACGTGTTCCCTTTGCCAAACTCCCTCGGGGTGCGTGCCTGGCCACGCCAAAATACTGCTCTGACTTCACGCAGAGACCTGCTTCAGCAAGTGACTATGGTGATGCATTCTGAACGGAATGTTGTGTTGGCAGAACCCATGATGATCAATGATGAGTGTTGGGCATTTTGGGGGATTTATGGATTCATATGGATTCGTTGCTGCAGTGTGAAGCTACCAGCTACCACTTTTCACTGACTTGATTTATGATTGGCAACAGAAATTTAGGTATCAAATCTGTGACTATCTATCCGCAAAACGGCTCAAATTGACAAATTCAGATATGTTCCCTTTTTCCGAAACTCTTTCACGGTAGATAGGCCTGGAAAGTAGGTGATGGATCCGCGGCTGTTATTGCCGATTCTGGCCTTGTTAGCGCAAGTTGAGATACCACCAGAAAGTCAAGCCAATGACTTTGCCCCTGGGTTGAACATGTGCCATGTAGCCGATGCATGTTGACAGTCTATTTCCTCAAGTTGCCTTGGGACATCACATGATATGGTCCTTTTTTATTTGAAAAAACTGATACGTTGCAAGGGCATGATGTCAACATAGTTTCAAGTTATGTTGTTCGTTTTTGGCCCCATGGGTTTACGATGCCTCAGGTAGAAGTGTGCAGTGGGGAAGGCCAACTGTCTCGTGCCTTGTGGAGCTGCCAATTCCAGGGAAAGGCCTTCGATGCTGCCTGAAAGCAAGTGGGATGGGGAGGAAGCTTGTGTGATGACAATGTAATAATTGATTTATCATTCTTTGAAGCATTCATTCCCATGAACTTTATGACATCTTAGGTTTTGTATTCGAAGAACCACAACTTCCTTCGGACGGTGGGGTTCCTTGCAGTACTTGCTGCAGTCACCTGGCTTTAATGGTCACTGTTGCTTATCAACATCCTAATTGTGATCGTGAACATTATGGGACTGATAGCTTAAAACAACATCCCAGGTCCGCAACACACGTCGGGGTGGTCTACTTTTCTTCGCTCCACCATGTTCGACATGGGTGTTCCTGAGCCTTTTATGCATTAGTTTCAGAATGGAAAGTTGTGGTGTTAGATTGGTCTTAGCTATGCTTATCTTGTCCCTTGTTTCTTTGTATCACCACGGTCGATGTAAATGTTCCTCACCCTGTTGATGACTTAGTCTCAAATTGCAAAGTTAATTAAGGTATTGGCTAGGTCACTTGTGTTCTTATTACTTAGGACATGTGATCACTCCGAAAACATATCAATATCTCAGGTCTTCTCCATCAACAGGACGAACCTGGATCTCTCCCGAAGGCTTCAGAACCCGTTGCGTGCTACTGGCCAATATCTTCGTAATGAGAATGCTTTACATGCTGCTTGGCTAGACAAGTTGAACAAATAAAATGATTTCCTACCATCGATGTAGGCTGCCTACAATACTCATATTGATTATATATATAAATTATGGGAGTATTATATTGTAACTTTACTTGGGTATACTTGAGTTAGTTTATTCCCAGCCTTCCGTTATCTGCATCAACTAAGACTGTGGTATGCTTGGCAGCGTGGTGTTTATGTGGCCATTGAACAACCAATCTCCTCGGCCACCTGACAGCAAACAAGTTGGATTTGCAAAAGAGTTGATTGATTTTAGAGATGAAACAACACTGCTGGAAACTCTAATTTTCAAAATGTCCTTTCAGGTTCTTTTTGACTGGGCACCTGTCAAGCGGCTTCTCACCTTCATAGGGGCGAGGACTGTTACAAACTGAGATGTGGTTGAATATTGCAAACTGAACATTATCGTTGAACTTTACGATGCTTATATATCTGCATCTGCCTTCGCAGGAAAGTTACATTTCCAATGGGATCTTATGGAGCTGCAACGATGAAATACACAACGATTCTTTGATGCTATAGTGAAAGTATTTCCGTTTTCTCACCCATGGTGTGTCGGTATCTGATTCCCATTGACAGATCTTGTGTCCCAAGGATTTGGTCTACACCGCCCGGGATTTCCAGCCTGCGTCGCCCACTGGACGTGAAGCAGCTGCGAGAAGCCCTTGCGAGGACAGAGCTGTTGAGATTGGGAGACAGGTTGGATATATAATCATATGTTGGGATATTATGGGTCGGATTGTACTTATCTTTGTCTTATTATCCAATGTAGTTTTATCATGTTTTATCATGCAGATCGAATCCAACCCAAGCTTGTTGAACTTGTCAGCGAAGTCATTTGCCACTCCAACTGGTGGTTGTCAAACCAAAGCTGCGACCACGTCATACAACGTCCATTTGACGAAATCCTTGTTTTCGCCAGTCTTGACAAGGGGCATGCCAACTGTGAGCCATATCGTTGAGCTTGTGTCACAAGATTCTCCACATGCATATCATCTTGGAAAATGAATTGCATGTGAGCCAACGAGCACCCATGGTCACATGATTTTGCAGGATCTCATGTCTTGGCCATCACCTCCTGTTCACCCATCCCGGAACCAATTCTGCCGCTCTCGCAGGAATGCAACCAATTTGGTGCGCAAGACGATCGACAAGAAGGGTCGCCGCCGGGTAGCAACTTGGCTTAAAACTTAACATGTCACATGCGCAGTGTTTGTCAGAATAATATGGGTTAAGTTGACTACTAGATATGGGACCCATTCGTGAGCCTTCATGGTTTCACACACTTGTCTTACCCAAAACATTTAGCATCTGAGGCAGGGATCAAAAGTGAGTTGGCCAAATCGGCCAATTATCCTCGTGGTTTTGGTATGGCAATAGCTGCCCTGGTGCCTGCTCGAGGGAGGCGACCAATTGAGAAAGGTCTTGATTTAACATACCAAGGTACAGACCATTTGGGTTCCCTGGATGATTTCATGAAGGGATCCAAAAGAACCGAGTGGAGGAAACCAACCTTCACGGGGTGATGGGTGTGGCCGTCATGGATGAATTTGAAACCATAGATCAATCTCAACCAATAATCATACCTGTTTTTCTTTGGGCCACCCATTTCCTATGTGAGGATCGCACTTGTACTACAGAAGTTATGGGTGAAAAGGGGTTAGGCGCTTGGGCAGTTCGCTTGTGACGTTCACTGTATGTGTGTTATGTCATGTTTAATGTCAACCCTGGATTAATAAACCCCTAGATTGTTTAATTGGGAGGGTACCATTTAAGTATCATATTTTGACTATTGGAGGAGTACCCCCTAATTAATAAACCATGGTTTATTAATCCGGGGTTGACATTACAAATGAAGGATTTAAGCCGATATGGTCACAGCTGCCATAGCCCAGTTGATTTTGAAACAATCTGATATTATGAGTGACTCAATGGCTGGTAGCACTGGCCCTCAGATAGTGCTCTTGGTACAATACCAACATGTCTTGTCCTTATAGCAACCCTTACTTAGCTGAGCTGTGGACTGCCCGTCATGAGCGTCTATGTTTGAGCTGCTGGCTCACTCAAGTTGAGGAATGGCTAGAAGAGAATCTTGGATACTTTTGATTTAGGTTAGGTAGGTGGGTGGGTAGAACTAAGTTTGGTTACCATATTTTTCACACAGGAATATTGTGCAAACAAGTTACAACTTACACAGCCCCATATACAAAGGAAACCTCGTTATGGGATGCGGGCTGCCAATTCTTCAAGTGATCTTGGATGTTCCATTTACAACTTTATAGCCACTTTATGGATCCATTGCGCCCCGTTTCTGAGGACCGATGTGGTGCAACTTCGATGCATCTGCAAAGATTGCAACTGTGAATGGGAGACCCTAGCTGCTGACACTCGAGAGGCTGATCAGGAAGCCGGACGGGCCCAATCTGAGGGCCAACAATAGGGGTATAGTATAGGGGTTGATGCCAGCTGTCTAGGATCCTGGGGGTGATGAATATATTTAATTACTTGTAGCCCAACATACCCGACAAATATGAGGTTACTTATGATATAACTTACAAAAATGTTATGATAGTCCTTTTGTGATGACTACTCTCAATCAGTTTCCCTGGGTCCAACCATCGGCATCTCTGGGGCCACGCACACAAGCCACAGAGCTTCAGTGCGAACCTTCGGGAATATGAAATGTTTCAGGAAAAACAGACCAAAGGCGCGTGTCATTGCGTGTCATTTGCGTGTCATTGGGGTTGGGAGTGGCTTACCAATTGTAGGCCGTTTTGTAAAAGTATCACCATTTGTAGGCCGTTAGGAGCGTGCCACGGGAACTCCTAGTGTCTGAGTGCGTGTCATTTGCGTGTCGTTTTTGGCCTTCTGATGCCATAATCTTCAAAATGCGATTTTTTCACTGGACTTTGTTTGGGTAATTCTGGGTATGTTTCCGGAGAACTTTGTGGCTCCCAGCTGTGTGGGACTAGGAACCTTACGTAGGTTTTTATGACCCCCAAAGAGGCTGCACGGATTCGAGCTAAGAAGGCCACCACTATTCCGTGCCCCAAGTTAGTTGAATTTGAGAAACAAAGAATGGCCTTAGAAAAGGCTGTGAAGGAGGATGAAAAACGTGCAGAGAAACGAGAAAAGCTACTCCAAGAGATGAGGAATGCGACAAAGGAGGTGAAGACCACAAGTAAAAGAAAAAAGACTGATGAGCAAAAGGGAGAACACAATGGAACAGCCAATGTAGGTGCAGAAACAGATGATGAAAACAAGTCTTCGTTACAAGCTGTGCGAGAGGCAAAAGAAAAAATTGCCCGGCTAGACAAGGAAGCCAAGAGAGCCGGATCTGCAGGGAACACCACTGAGACAGGCAAACCCACCAAGAAGGACAAGAAGGAGAAGAAGGAGAAAAAAGAGAAGAAGGCAACACCACAGAGTGGGTCGACACCAGATGCTGACAAGGTCTCAAAGAGCTCTGCCCCTGCCAATGCAGAAGCCACCAAGTCCGAGCACAGCAAGAAAGACACGACGACAGAGGACAATAGCACCGGATCTGCACATGGATCCACGCCAGAGAATGCCACCGAGAAAGGCAAGCAGCCAAAGGAAAAGAAGGACAAGAAGGAGAAGAAAGAGAAGAAGGCAACACCACAGGAGGATGAGTCAACACCAGGTGGTGACAGGATCTCAAAGAGCTCTGCCCCTGCCAATGCAGAAGCCACCAAGTCCGAGCACAGCAAGAAAGACAAGACAACAGAAGACAATAGCACCGGATCTGCGCATGGATCCACGCCAGAGAATGCCACCGAGAAAGGCAAACAGCCAAAGGAAAAGGACAAGAAGGAGAAGAAAGAGAAGAAGGCAACACCACAGGAGGATGAGTCAACATCAGATGCTGACAAGGTCTCGAAGAGCTCTGCGCCTGCCAATGCAGAAGCCACCAAGTCCGAGCACAGCAAGAAAGACAAGACGACAGAAGACAATAGCACCGGATCTGCGCATGGATCCACGCCAGAGAATGCCACCGAGAAAGGTAAGCAGCCAAAGGAAAAGAAGGACAAGAAGGAGAAGAAAGAGAAGAAGGCAACACCACAGGAGGATGAGTCAACACCAGGCGGTGACAAGGTCTCAAAGAGCTCTGCCCCTGCCAATGCAGAAGCCACCAAGTCCGAGCACAGCAAGAAAGACACGACGACAGAAGACAATAGCACCGGATCTGCACATGGATCCACGCCAGAGAATGCCACCGAGAAAGGCAAGCAGCCAAAGGAAAAGAAGGACAAGAAGGAGAAAAAAGAGAAGAAGGCAACACCACAGGAGGATGAGTCAACACCAGGTGCTGACAAGATCTCGAAGAGCTCTGCGCCTGCCATTGCAGAAGCCACCAAGTCCGAGCACAGCAAGAAAGACACGACGACAGAGGACAATAGCACCGGATCTGCACATGGATCCACGCCAGAGAATGCCACCGAGAAAGGCAAACAGCCAAAGGAAAAGGACAAGAAGGAGAAGAAAGAGAAGAAGGCAACACCACAGGAGGGCGAGTCAACACCAGGTGGTGACAAGGTCTCGAAGAGCTCTGCGCGTGCCATTGCAGAAGCCACCAAGTCCGAGCACAGCAAGAAAGACAAGACGACAGAAGACAATAGCATCGGATCTGCACATGGATCCACGCCAGAGAATGCCACCGAGAAAGGCAAGCAGCCAAAGGAAAAGAAGGACAAGAAGGAGAAAAAAGAGAAGAAGAGCAAGGATGATGAGCCAACACCAGATGCTGGCAATGTCTCAGACCAGCATTCCACAGAGAAACCAACGAGTGCCACTTGCTCAACTTTGTGCCTGCTTGACCAAGCCAGACCACTGAAGGTTCAGAAGCCCAAAGATGATTCGAAGAAGCGAAAGAGTGCCCATGAAGGTGCAGACAATGAGAGATGTCAAAAGAAAGTGCACACTGAACAACAGAATGACACGAAGAAAAGGTCACCATCGCCATGCCACACTGAGAGATCGGAAGTCAAGAAGCACAAGCAGAAGGATGATGTGAAGGACCTCCAAAAGTCCCAAAGTCAGGACTAACTCTTCCGTGGGTGGGGGTAGTTTCCCATTGGGATCTAACAACCAGATTTATTTATGGCATCAGGATGATAAAACAAACATACCACAATCACAACCCTAATGATGGGAAGATGGGAACTTCCTTTTTGAGCATTTCGTGCAAGTGGTATTTTCTTTCTATATCAATCCAGGACATGCTGCTGGAACGACAGTCGACTTTGGCCAGCATTGATGGACTGCTGCTGGAATCACCCTTGACTGGGTCTGTTGCTCGCAAACTTTTTGAGGATGATGCTACTTGTTTGACATCAATCATTGAATAACAAAATCGTAATTATCGGAAACTACATTGATCCAAAGCTATCTCAGTCAGGCTAGCCCACACTCGTCATCGTCACCACCGACGACTGAGAAGAAGGAACGCAAAAAAGTTCTCACGGAGGAGGAGAAGGCCAAAATTCAGGCCATGCAAAAGCCATCAGAAATGCCCTATGACGATCCATAGCTAAAAGACTATGATTATGGATGTTAAGCCAATGGAATTGGAATTTGTTGAACCACATCAGATCAAACATGAATCGAGTTTAATCCACAATCAATCCAGCCTAGGAAAGAAAACGCCAATGCGCGGCAATGCGAAGAGCAATCTACAAAGATGCCAAGCCCGAGCTAGTGGCTAAATTTAGCCTAGCCAATGACAAGGAGAGGTTACTTAACAATATTTGACATATCTTAATTCCAGCAGTTTCATATGGTATCAGTTTGAAATGATTTTACCCCATATGTGTGCACCGGCAACTTAGGTTTCAAATGTTGAAATCTTGGGTGCAAAACCAAGACGTGGGCGAGATCGACATAGAAGAAAAGTATGTGACGTTTGTGCGCACTCTGCGCACTGACCGCTACACGACTGTCAGGGCCCCATTATTTAAAATAAAAACAAACCAATGTAGCTTGACTCTTCAACAAAATTGTTGAGCTAATCCATTCTTCCGATGATTTGATTTACCTTATCCCTTGGTGTCATCTAAGGTGACGATTTTTCAACTTGAAAAAATCTATGGTAAGGGGCAGGAGGCAAAGGCCTTCATCCAAGAGTTGTGCCAGGGTAGCTTGGCTATACTATAGGGTTGGTAACACACATTGCATAGTTCTGGTAATCCACTTTCTTTGGTCCATGAAGATTCTTAAAATTAAGGTCAGGCTGGTGTACCTCACCCCCAGGCCTGGCCTTGTCGTTCTTGTCTCTCCGGTGTCTCTTCCTGTTTGATGTCTGGCCTTGGAATTGCCAGGCACCCAACGTGAAAAAGGCGAGGATGTACAAGGTCTTACGAGAAGTGGTAGAGGAAAACCAGAGTGGAACTTCAGCTGAGACCTCTGCTACTTAGTTTTATTTGCTTATGCCTTGGCCCATGCATATCATATACATATCAAGTTTGAAAGGAATGGGTTTGGTTCACCGTATTTTTGAAATAACATATGCTTTTATGACCTCTCTAAAGTACATTATAAACACTCCCAATTCATATCCAAGGCTTCCCTTTCGGGTCGAGTTCGTGATGGAGGAGCAAAACAGCTGCTGGCAAAGCAGCTGCAGGGCCTGAACTCTTCCACTCCCGAATTCATGAACCTTACTACTGGACAGATAAGGTGTAAAAAACCAAAGAAGGAGAAGTCCCCAGTTGATGAAGCAATCGCCGAGATGAAAAAGATATCCAAAAAGTTTCTTTGATCAATTAACGATCGTATGATTCTTGAACCTTTGAGTCTTGATTAGGTACGACTTCACTGGGTTCTGGGTCTATGGATGTGGTACTTATGTTCTCGTGAGCCTAGGTGGAATCAGGTGGTGAATGAGCTCCCCAAGATGATCAAGGACCTAAAGGACTACAACGTGCGAAACTGCTCAGAGCTGGTGCCTTGGCTGATACAGGGATATTAATCATTATTATATATAGTAAACATGAATGCTATCCATACAATAGTAACATACAATAGGTCGTGGATCGAGGTTATGCATATTGCATTGTAACACTGTAACATTATCCACTGGTACAGTTTGGTTTTAGGCATGTTCATGGGGATAACCTATCATTGGGACATTCTGCAGGTGATTGCGTTGAAGTGCCTGCTGCTACCGGGTGGCAGCGGGTGGAAACTTACTTGGGGGCTCCAGCCTCTGAAGTTGACCCTATGGATTTCCAAGCCAAGCTGGAATGTGAAAAGAATGAAATTGCGGTTATTATGGGTGACATCAGTGACGCTAAGCGTCGTCTGTCAGCTGCCAAGGGCCCAAAAAAGGGCAAAGGAAGGGCAGCCAAGAAGGCTGATCCATCCAGTGATGAAGAAGAAAGTGTGGAAGACTAAGGTGGAACATATAAAACCCTGAAATGATCATAAATGTTCTGGGGAAAAAGTTATCTCACTTATATGTTTAGCTGTGTGCTGGGTGTTTATGAGATGACGTGGAATGTTCCCGAAAAACATCTTAGCCTGTCATTGCACATTGCAGGGTGCCGTCAGTACCAAAAACTTGATATCAATAAATATCGTAGCTTTATTTTTGGGGACTTAGTGGAATAAAAACTAATAACCAATGACCATCTGAATTTGATTTCAAATACGGGACCCTGTGGTGTGGTATGTCATCCAAATTTAAAGATCCTGCAACTTTACCCGGGGTTGTTGCATATATGTCAGGGACATCGAATGTTGTGGCCAAATTTTGTATTTATGTTTAAAAATATCATAGCCCCTGAACTTGATATCCTTTTATATTTCTGAGTTCCCTGGCATATGATGTGAACCATTCCCTTGGAACCTGGGCGCCCGTGCTGACTCTTGGCAAAGTGCCAATGGGTCTTTCTTTACCAATGGCCTGCGTGGCTGTGTGATGGCAACGGTTGCCATGATGGAGCATCGAACATAGGCATGAAGGGGTTGTGCCTGTGGACCACAAAATGCGTTACGGTTAATGGTTTGGAATTTAATGGTCGGAAACTGATGTTGCAATGCAGTCCACATGAAATTCAACATGGTCAAATAAACTCATCAACTACAACCTGATCGCATCATGCAGCCATTCAAGAATCAACCATGGGGGAAAAACAGCAATGATAATGACATAAATTTATAATCCTTATGTTTCAGGTTGCTTGGGATATCTCTTGTAAATTTGAAAACCATAGATCGATGATATAAACAACAGAAGAAATTAGGGTTCGTTATTTCCAAACAAAATTAGGGAACCCTTTAGAATACGTGCTCTCTCCGCTGTGGGGGCAATGGGGGGCAATGGCCCATGGATTTGGTCGAAGAATTTTTGGAGCTAGGGAAGCAGGTTTCTTAGCTGCAAATTCCGATGAGTCACATGCACATATATACATATACACACCCTGGATCTACTTACAAGTATTTGGTGGTCTCCTACAAACGCCTAGGTGAGTGTTCACACCCTATTGCAATTTTTGGCTATCTTACGACGCCGTATTCCAGGAAAACATCTCCGGCAACTTGGTATCAAACATATCTGAATAGAAACGGTTTCCTGCAGTGGTTACTTAATCTGGTATTTTCTTAGAAACATATTGCTACTTATGCCAGGACGAACCTGAAAGAGCTGGTCAAGATTGATGAGTCTGAACCCAAAAACTGTGGTCGTCGCTTCTGGAGATGGCTGCATCGTCAGCCATGGAGGGCAATGTTACCCCAGGCCAAAGAGCATCTTGCTTCATGTGGGTATGTTGATGGTATGTTGGTTTGGAAATGTAGGGGTCCCTTTCAGCCACCTGTCCCTTCCTCGTCCACCCGTTCCCAGGATTGAAGTTGTGTTGATGGATCAAAGTCGAAGCGACCCTATGTATCTGGGACCATGGCATATATTCCTACCGAGTGAAGTGTTTCTAGATTGCACTTGATGTGATTCATATTGACTATATATGCAGTCCTTAACTTACACAAAGTATCGTTATAATATGGGCCCTGTTGACTAGTTAACCTTCATTCATTCATGGACTGCATGGGTTGCCAAGGATCCATGCTATGTACATTTACGATGAGAACCTTTTCCGGGAGAGATGGCTCGGACCTCCTGGTGTGCCCAGGTTGCAGTATGTTGCAGTCAAACACACTGTAGCATCAGGTCATCAGCTGAACTTTTTTTTTAGATGATGAAACCCAAAGTAGTTTTTGGATCACACCATGCCCTAGGCATTGGAACAGTTTTGGGAAGCACAAAGATCCCGACCATGGTTTCAGAACCATCCCATTTTGTCAGCTGCTGAAACTTGTTTGCAGTCAGGCTGGGTATATTGTTTTGAAAGAAGGTGGCACTGCTACCCTTGACCTTGTGTAGCCTCAGGATGCTGATCTCAGCCGTATCTTTCCAATTGTGGTGCATGGAGACGATGGTGACAGCCACAGACGGCGAAGCTTCACCGTATTCACTATAGCTTCACCGCTGAGCCGTGCAGGGAGCTCATGGGATCACAGGTTTTTGATTTACTGCATGGATGTGAGTCGTGCTGTGGCAGCTACATATGACTGTTTGGATTCATGGGTTGTGCACTCACTTACAGAGCTTCAAACTGGACAGTTCATGTCTGTCGATCCTTACAACAATCCATTTCCACGGGCTGCTTCTGGAGCTATCTGTGGTGGGTTCCGTGCTGTGCTGTTTGGTTTGAAAGGGGACCAAAAGTACATACAGCGTGCTTTGAAGCTGACAACGAGTTGGGTGAGTGACAAATGTTGTATGTACTGTGATGCTGCTCTCAGTGGGCCAAATTTGTACGCGTTCTTCGGTGAAAACGCTCCTCATAGATCAACCCTCAAGTCCACTACAGATTTCATCATCCATGGGTGCCGACCAAACCCTTGGATACGGATTCCTGGTTTTGACATTTCCATTGTAATGACCGACTGGCTCCATTTGGTTGACTTGGCAATCACCCCGGAAATGGCTGGGTCTGCGAACTTTCTTTGCATAAGTAGTTTTTACTTTGGTTTACACCAGCAGGATTTATTGAAATAGTTAGTTTACTGGGATGATGGCGTTTGACATTTGAATCCCAGGCTTTGGCCGAGCTCACCAAGACGGATGATGTTTGGAGAGGGGAATCTCAGGAAGAACGGCTTCGACTAGCAGGTGTTGATTTTGCTCGTGAGTGCAGACGACATGGTATTAGATACTAGGCCTGACCATAAGACATGTGATACACACACGGCAATGCATGTGACAACTGACTGCAGCTTTGAAGACTGCTGGCTTACTTCAGCAAGAAATACGAACTGTTGAGGAAACCGTGGGGTGATGCCATCATTGTTTCCTGTCTGCAAACCCGAGCTTGTTTGTTTTTGCCACGCTTAGTGTGCACAAGTGCATTCTGATTGGAGAATTGAGGAATCAACTGTATCCACTGGGAAGGAACAACTACCCAACATTAGTGCAGAAGCACTTTAATGGTGCTGCTCCTTGGACGGATGTTTCATTCAGAAAATGTTACAAGTTCTAAGGGATTGAACCTACTTCATTTGCTTCTCTAGTCTTGGAGGGTGGTGATGTTCTAAGGAAGCAGCTGTGTTGGCCAAATGGCTTAAGGGAGTGACTTTGGCAGTTGCAGAAGCAAAGCCAAATGATGATCATGCTGCGTTGTTTGGCTTCAAGATTTCTACAGTTGAGCTGTTTGCGTTTTGGGTTTTTTTCCTGGTGATATAAAATTGGCCTGTTGGAAATCCACCTAGGTTGCGAGCTTCACTTTTTGTGAATCTGGTGGCTATGCGGTCATGTATTGCAAAGGACCGTAATCCTTGTGCTTTGCTGACTCCGGAGAACCGTTCAATCCTGGTTCGTTCAAATTTCCTCCTCCACAGTGCCCACAATTGCTATTTGGCTGTATCAGAGTGCTACACTGGCTGTCAAGAAAGGTTTCAACTTGTTTGATTTTTTTGTTGCATCATTGGTTGAGGCTTAGCACGGGAAGCGCTTGAGATGGAGATCCTTGTGTACAAAATCAGACCAAAATACCATCAGTTGCTGGGATCAGAAGAAGAGACTTCAATTTTCCGGTAAGTGCAAATTTTGCAGGTACTATGTTGCATTGACAGTTTTTTTTTTTGATACGGGGAATCTAAGGCTTGACCATTTGGTGATCGACCAAAGTGTGTATTGCAACCCAATGGCCACAAGCACATATGATGACGAAGATTTCGTCGGAAAGACAAAAAAATTGGCACAAATGTGCCAACCTTTGTATCTAGGCTACCAGTGTCTAGAAAGATACGCAGCCTACGTGTGTTGCCGGTGGCTCCGACAGTTGACGGAATGATTATAAATTGAATATTTACAGAAAGAAAAATAATGTGTTCATATCCTATGAATATATACGATACGACCCAGTTTTTTTTTGATCCATCAACTCAACTGGAGAGCCCTGCCCTTGATGTTGGCCTCAGTGGCCTCCTCGACTTTCTTCGGCAGCTTTGGCAGAAAGGCTGCTTTGGCTTGGGTGAAAGGTAGGGGGGTTATGTAGGACCTATCATAGTTATGTGATATGTTGGGTTTATGTATAGGATCTATCATAGTTATGCGATATGTTGGGTTTATGTATAGGATCTATCGATATGTTGGGTTTATTTACAGGACCTAGCATAATTATGTGATATCTTGGAAATATGTGCACTTATTGTTATGATTTATCTTAGTTCCTAAATGGCTTACCAATGGGGGTACCTTTGGGGTTCACAATTTCAGAAACCAATGGGGAGCCGTTTGAGGGCTCTGGTATATATATATATATATTATATATTATATATATATATTTGATCACTGGGCCACTATATATTGGGTGATTTCTAGTATTGGACCAGGCATTTGTTGTCATTAAAAACTGGCACAAGACCAGAACGAGAAAAACCAGGTGGATTTGACATCTTTGGACAATTTGGACTCACACCTTGGTCATCGAAATGTATCGAATCACGAAGCCCACTGATGATTTTGGGATCCAGGAGTAGGTCGACAATTCGTTGCTGAAAGACCCATTTTCTGGTGGCTCAATTGTGTGGAATCATCCTCAAATCCATCAGCATTGAGCAAACAAAAAGATGCGAAAAGGAGAGAATGCCATACTAAGTTTTTGCGGGTTTGTCTGAAAACGGGGTAACCCCAAATTCCCATTATCGTAATCCCTATTCAAGTAGCAAATTTGGGTGTAAACCCGATTTTCAAACACACACTGCTGACCTACACGTGGCGAATTGATTCAATTCTCCTAGCCGCTTCAAACGGTTTGACTCCTTGCTCATTTCATCTGGCGAAGTGCAATTTTTTGCTTAGAAAGCCTAAGAAAAGCAACTCCGTTTCAATTAAAAATTGGTATGTTTCAAATACAACCAAATGTATTACTGGTAGTTCGTTGGGTAAATTCGTAGCTACTACCTCAGACTACCCAAGGTTACCCCCGAATAGGCGAGGGAGGTGTCATGATTAGGATTCCCACCGGTATATGCCCAAAAGATCAGGTTAGGCAATTTCCTGCCTAATAGTTAATTCCTTATTTCCTACCTAATTAGGCAATTTTTAAGGTAAAAAGGTAACCTAATTTTAAGGTAATTCGGCACGTGGGGTTGAAAGTTTGCGTGCAAACTTGCGAGGCGGGGCTGAAAGTTTGCATGCAAACTTGCGAGACGAGGTTGAAAGTTTGGATGCAAACTTGCGAGGGGAGGTTGAAAGTTTGCGCGCAAACTTGCGAGGCGGGGTTGAAAGTTTAAGGAAAAAATTAACTAATAGGTAATTTTTTTGCCTAAGATAAGGAATTACCTTTTCGGCAGGAAATTGCCTAACCTGATCTATTGGGTGACAGCCTGTCGTGGATGTCGGCCGAGCTGCAGTACAGTTTGGTCGGTAAGATGTCGTCTGAAGGCAGCGGTTTCAAGTCGACCTGAACGAAGGGAGCCAAGTCCAGGCAGCGGGGTCAAAATTCAAGTCCTTGGGAGCACTGGATATTAGATGATAGTTTGCCACCGTAGCACATATAGAAACGACAATAGGTATATGTATAATTATGTATATATACACATATTATACTGGTTGGTGGTTTGAACCCCTCTGAAAAATATTAGTCAATTGGGATGATTATTCCCAATATATGGAAAAATAAAAGTCATGTTCCAAACCACCAACCACTATACTACGCAGCGACTTGACCAACAACTCTCGAACGCGTCTTGAGACCCGACTTGGACAGGATCTGACTGGATCACCTATCAATGTGTCATTTTCACACTGAAAATGTTGACTTCTATGCGTTAAAACATGTTGAAACCTTCTCTTCAGCAAATACTATAGAAATTCATACCAATGGGTAAGTTGTGAATCACCATCATGTCCGAAACTCAGGGACAAACATGACAACTCTCCAGCATGGCTTTGGCTTTTTCGGAGACGATGCCAAGTCTCATGTCATTCAGAACCTGCAGCAGGTGGCAATGTCCAAACAGCTTGGAGAATGCTGGGAATAGAAATTTGCCTACGTGGTTACATGAGTGTGTTTCCCCCAATGGCTATTCTGGGGAAACATTGTAAAAACGCTCAGGACCGAGTCATCGGTGGAAGCACACATGTGGAAGTCTGTAATATTATGGTGCAGATACCATTTTGCCTTGGTGGCCAGGTTGATACCATATGCGGAAACCGGTGGAAATCGAATCTTGGCTTCCATTTAATTAACCATCTAATAAACATCCAATGTTTCGCGACGGTTCGCCCAGTATGTTAAATACATTGTATCAATATAGTAATCAATACAATTAGCCATCCAACGAACACCACCAAATCTCCAAGCAACAATACGACAACATTAATATCACATGACAGTGTAATCGAGTAGAATAGACAATAGAGGATGGCAATAAGAGCGAAATAATAGTAACATGTTTTCTGAACAGTAGTAAGAATATTCTTGTATAATATCACAATGTGTATATTATATATATATATATTTATTATGGATTATTATGGTATATGAAACCTATATCTATGTATATATATATATGTGTCTCTCTACATAGATAATATATCTATAGTATAAATATGTTTCAACCATCGAATCTTCCGCCCGGCCTCAGCGAAGTCGCTATCACTTTGCTGCCGCACAGGTTCGCGCAACAGCACTGTGCCCTGCTGCAGATTGGCCTCCGCTGGCGCCGGCCCCAAATCGTTACGGTCATGAGGAGAACATGAGGATTCAACGCAAGGTTCAACCACCTAAAATGGCGATTTAAGAGTTGATTCAGTTAACTCGTGATAGCTGAAATCTTAAGTGGGGTTAGTTCATGTTAGTTCACTGAACTGTTGGGTTTATGGTGATTAACTATAACATTTTAAAACGTTTTGAACCTATGATCGGTGAACATAAACCAACAAAACCGGGAGGCACCACCTTTCTGAGAATGGCCCAACTGCTCCATGGTGTTGGGACATATTCCATACATGGAGGATTGGGTGGGGATTCAAGCAACAATTCTAAGAAGAGGTGAACTCTGAATTATGAGACTTCCCAAAGCTGATTTGGGGCTTTTCGGGATGATTCCCCTCACTAAGCATCTTTGACGTGGGGATGGGTCAATCATGCGTAGGTGTGTTGTGAAACACGAAGAATTGAGATTTAATATGATTCCACCAACCAAGACTATATAGGAGCAAGGGATGAGTGTGTAGGGATAGGTCAATACCTTCTGGACGGGCATGAAGATCCAACTGACTACTAACTACTTTGGTACATCCAGGAAAGCAGATTTTGGACCCATACCCACATGATCTCAGAGTCTCATAGGGTGAGTCACAATTCTGTACCAAAGTTCATGGTTTCAACGCTTACAGTACCCTCTGGTTGTTTAACCATGTTTAAAACAACTATGGACAATCACCATTTTCAACAGGTAAATTATCTAATGGATCATTTTCCATAGCGTTAAATTTCCCAGCAAAATTATCAACATCTTCAGGTCCCCGCAGACCTGTGCTGTAAAGTCTTGGGATTGGGTCCGAACCTCAAAAATCAACTAACCTTGGGGTGCCATCTGCCATCTGTCAACTTTCTTTTAGGGATAGCTAGATGTACTTCTGGGAGCTTCTAATTGAATGCAAATTTCCATCCCTGTTCCAGCCTTCTGCCAAGCATTTGCTGTGAAGCAGAAGGACCTGGCGCCGCCTCCGCGCTCCTGAGAAGGTTCTGCAACGAAAACGAATGACCAGCATTGTGATGTCATAATCTATCCATAGGGCGCGTTTACAAATCGGGACCGGATTGCACTCAGGCACACAACCTCACACTGTTCCCAAGCCATTGCCGCAAGTGGAACATCCCCAACTACATCCCCAACTGGGTATGGGTCAAAACTCAAGACCCAAGAAAATCAAGAAACCACTCATCTCGGTCATTTTTGGGATTAACAATCCATGGCTTCAGGGGTAGCCTCTGGTAATGAGCTCCATGGCTTACTGGAAAATCCATGAAAAATCCACATTTACTTCGATGAATTTCCCAGTTCTAGACCCAATATATACGTGTATATATATAATATATTAATATATACCATGCGGTAATCAAATGTGGCAATTGGAAATACCATTGAAGATTTTAATGGGGCAATCATCTATGAATGGGTGATTCTCAAGATTGACATGTTTGATGACACCAGAGGGTACCCAGTTGACCCATACCGCCCAGGCATGCCCAGGCATGCCCAGGCACTTGCACCGGCGGAAGCTGAAGAAAGTCACCACACAAGAGGACCTGTTGTCATGCTGGGATTTCACCAACCATGAGAATTCACCATGAAAAAAACTGAGATTTAACCAGGATTAGATTAGATTGGGATTTCACCATCCGTGTTACGATGATTTAGGATTTAACAACCCAACAAGTTGGGATTTCAGTACCAGATCGAAAGCAATTGGGTAGTCATCCACCAAAAATGAGCGTCAACATCATTTCACCAGCAGACTTTTACCACCAGAAGGGAAATGAGTTCCTGGCAATGTCCTACGGTAGCCATCCGACATGCGTCCCATGGGCTTCCTTCCAGGCCAGTTTCAGATTTCAGACCCTTCTTGCTCTGACAGCTATACAAAAACAACATATAACCTGTTCTCTGTATGCATCTGCTCTGTCTCATATTTGTAAGTCTGCAAATAGCCAAACCTACAACTTCATTCTTCATACATGCCAATGCAGCATTTTGAAGTACGGTAATTGCATGTATTTGTTCATTGCAATGGACATCTGCCCTGCAAAGTAGTGCCGGGTTCGACTACCGGAAGGCAACTCCCCCACTATCATAATCATAAACCTCAACTCAGAAATATATCGATTTTGGGTTGGTTCCCCATTTCTAAGCCACCTGCCCACTTCTCCACATCACTTACCCCTGGTTCTGAGGTTACCACCCAGGGGTTCCCCAAACCATGGTTTTAGTTTTGGATCCATTCACTGTGGGGTCCCGTATTGCGGGTATATATCTAATATATTCATATATAATATTATAATCATATTATAGGATTTCTACCTCACAGAATTTGAGGCGACTCATGCAAAACAGGGGTCGTCCCGTATCGGTAATGAAGGCTTTGCACACCCCTCGGCAAGGCTGAGGCGAAGCACGACTAAATTAGTACTACAATAATTCTTTCGGTTACAGTACTCATTTTGTAAATATCAAGTGGAAGGAATACTTGCCAGTTATGATCCTCCAAAGAACCTCACCTAGATATTCAATTCTTAAGTTTATCTAAGTTTAATATGTTTAATATGATCATACGTGGTTAACCGTGGTTAGTAAGAGTGTTAGCAAGACCACTCAACTAAGCAGTTCCCAACATTTCCCAACCGTTGATGGGTCCTTCGTTGTTAGCTTCCCCCAATGGACACTTGATGCGCCCTGCGGGGTGCGGGGCCCTGCCTGCATGCCGCCAAAGGCCTGCCGATTGCCCCGTAGGTTGCATGCCAGGCCCTCCAAAAGGTCCAGAAGCTTGGCATCCACCATGGAAATCTCATCCTCGTGGTGACCAGTTGCGATGATCGGATTGATCGGATGAAGACTCAAGGACTTCAAATTTTCAATGTGATGATCCACCATGTCTGCCTCGGACAAACAAACATCTATCATCAATCCTCACCAGGCATCATCCATAAATAATATGTATAAATATGTGTAAATATGTATGTATATATCATATATTTATGTTATATGTATGCATATATATATGTGTGTATATATATATATATATACGTTATCAGCAATGTGGCGGTTTCATCCATGGCATCCAAGTCCCAGGTCTTCGACGAGGCTCCACCACCAGAACACGCGTCTGTGTCCAGCGAGCTTCAGCACCGGAGGTCTGTCGCACCTGAAGAGGCGGATACCGCCTTTTTTGGAGCCAACCTTCAAACAAATCAGCCAGGGTCAGGGCTTGGAATCATTCAACATTTTGAACACCATTGAACACCTAAACACAATTAAACACACATGCATTGAGATATTCATTGCACTATCATCAAGTTCTGCAACTCCTGGTGGCTTCAAAAATTTGGTGGCTGCTCTCCGCTGCTACCAGCCCAAGGCCTATGAATTTATAATATGTGTTGATTGATGCTGTGCATTTGATGAACCTTACGTGGGTATGGATCCGAACCCTGGTACCCTGAGTTTACGCAGCGAAATAGCGCGTATAGGTGGATGTTTTGACCCGCATGGGCCAAACAATCTTGCACAAAGAATTGCCAGCACTGACAGCCCCCCTTTCTAGACACATCAGGTAGATGACGGGAGACCTGGGTTTCCCCTTGAACAATGGTGATTTTTCATGACTTCATGACTTCCCTTTGCCAGATTTGATTACCGGGTGACACCAGGGATCACAGTTCATCACAGTTGCAGGTGCACCTTCTTCAGGGCCATTCTCAGCGTTGAACAGCCTATCCCTATGCCGGCGAAGCTGTGGAGTGTTTGCCCAGCCAAATGCCTCGGCTGGGTGGCAGAAATTCAGGTATAACTTTATAACTTGGATACTTTGGAAATCCCTTGATTGCAGACTGTCCATTATACTCTGGATAATTTGGATATATTTGGATACTTTGGAGCTCCCATGATATTTTGTTGTGACACCATCAATTCCTTCCAATGCAGGTTTCAGATGGTTTCAAGATGTTTCAAGTACTTTGGAAGGATACTTGAAGGTACTCAGCCGGAAACTGCAAAAACCTGCCTGCAAATATCCATTGATTGGTACCTGGGCTTGTCCAAAAGAGGTACTCCAACGTTTTTACCTTTTGAAATTGCCACTTTCATGTGTCCTCATTGATTGCACAAGCCCTATTGATCATATTTTTGGAATGATACTACCCAATTATATCACACTCTGTCCCCGTTGACGTTTTCCCATTATCATCCCATGAAAATAACAATGTGTTTCCAATCATTTCACCCAAATATTATATTGACTATATATACAGATTCTACCCCAGTAAATATCCCCCTTATCCCCGATTTTTTATCCGTTCCCCCATATCCCCATGATGGGATTATTTGGGTAGCATCCGGTACTCAAACATGGCAAACGAAAATCCTCCATTCGTAGATGATTTTTCCATGAAGACTTGCATTCATCTATAGGAGACTTCCCAGCCAGCATTGCTTGATGAATGGAGGGCATCCCCATTTTTGGACACATCTTCTGATGTCATGTTTTTTTCCACGCTGCGATGCAGCAACACCCGTGGAAGCTGTCACTGCCACCTGGGAGACAAACATCCTGACCACTGGATTGGTTCCGTTGTCTCCCGAAAACCATGGTTCTTCCATGTTGCTGCCATTTGGTTTCATGGCTTTGAAACTATTATTATCCAGAATATCCTGGAACTGCGGAGTTTCAAAGTAAGGTGTGGGTTTCCTGGAAATTGTCCCTTCTGCATATGATCTGATAAATTGGATTCCAAAGAGAAATGAACTCGACATGTCAAAATCAAAAGCTTAAAGCTTCAAACGCTGCATGAGAGCAGGAGGCGTGAGTCAGCAAACCATAAGGCTTTGAGCAATCCTGTCTTAGATGGATTCAAAATGGGAATATAACATGACATGGCATCACACAACATAACATCAAATCAACAACAATGCATGGGAATTTCTTGCCCCATGTCGGCTTTCCCTGGCCTGTTCTGGGAAACGTTGCTCCAGCTCCTGTATGAGGTACCGAAGCAAAAAACTTTTCCTTGGTCCAGCAGCAGATTGCTTTAGATCATCGATGATATTCTTGGAGCTGGCGAGCAACAAACAACAATAGAATTGGGATGTTGACCAACAAAGTGCCAAGAAAAAGAGAGACATCCCGCATGGCAACAACCAGCCCAATTACATGGTAAGCACCAATCTGGCCACTCGGTCCAAACCACGGGTGTCATGGACGACATTGGACCTTCACTACCGGGTTTGCACTTCAAATTTTCAGCAATTGCGCTTCCATTTCAGGTCTATTCTCCAGGTGCGGTGCAATATTGCATTGAAATAGTTGAAATAAGTGAAACTCTACACTCTACACATAGCCCTGATAGTTGGAGCAAGGTCCTGAAAAAAAGGGACTCGTCTCAAGGTGAAACAAAAGATTGATTTCTGTGAAGCCTAAACGAAGAAACCTAGTCACGAATAGTACAATGACACATCAGTGGTTGATGTGTGGTCACAAAGCATGTTGAAAAAACAAAGAAACTTGGACGGTGGCAGAGCCAAAAACCACCAAGGAAAAACGGCCACCACATACCGAGATGTGTCTGTGCCAAAAGGTCTGGTCCTTCGCGGCTTTGTACTTTAGTGAATTGATGTGAATTGACTGCTGGATGTCAATGGATTATAATAACACATATTACCTACTTAGCGATCTATAAATATCTATAACATCTTATACATACCCAGTTTTGAATGAGTTTTGATCACTTCCTCACTTCAATTCTCCATGGCCAGAGCCCCTGGCCAAAAAACACCTGCCGAGTTTCCCGGTTCCAGCTGCGCCTGTGAGGAAGAGATTCTCTCCTCGCAAGGCCCTCCGCGCAGCGTCTTGCTGCTCGGCCGTGAGGTGCTCAAAGAGGATGGGCTCCTCCTGGAGAACATGGGGAATTCCGACCGGAAATCTGGAAATCCTGGAACTGAAGGCCTGGAACTGAAGGGGGGAAATCCCCGAAATCATGGGAAAATCCCGAATAAAGAGAGGTTTTGATAGGAAAATCAAAGCAGCAATCATCTATAAATGGGAATACAAATCACCAATCATAAGCGATCATGAGAATTAGCCAACCAGACATTGACTCCACCCGAATATGGGACGTTTTCATCAACATGGGCATTTAAGAGACACACAAGGGAGCTTTCATTGTTGGGTTCTTGGTACCTAGCCAATGTGTACAACTGGAGAATGGGGATTGAACATGATTGAACATCAAAAGCGTTGATGTTCCGAAATGGATTTGGGGCCAAATTGGCCTCTCCAACAAAGGAATGGGTTGTAAGATGTTGTAAGGATATCTACTGGGTTTCGGGTCAAGACTTTGGTAAATTGCGGAAAGCCAGAAGTGGCTGAAGCGATGGGAAACTGCGGGAGATGGGGCACTTTACCAGGCTTTTGGGCCGATGCATTGGGAGCAAAGCCGCAGGTTGACGCAAGGCAACAAATAGACCGGTTTTTGGAGTCTCCAAGTTTTTTTTACTTACCCAATCTACATTAGTTGTATAATGTTGTATATTGGGCAAGCTCAGTTTTTTCGTATTTCCTAAATCTTACACGGTTTCTCTCCTTCACATGAGGACCATCTTCCTGAACCATCTCTTCGCCGCCTCAGTAACCAATTGAACATGGCTGGCGATGTCCACTGGTCTATGGTCAGAAAACTAGTACCATCCAAGAATAATTTAGACCATTATTTACCATATATTCTTTGACGTTGTAAAAAAATGGGGTTACCCGGGTTGCCCTCTCAATCATCCAGACGGATCTTGGGACGATTTAGGACATCATTGCGGCTGGCTGAGATTCCTACTCTCTTCTGCCACACGAGAGCGAATCCTGCGAGACGGAGGCAGAAAGGTTTGCTTTCACTTTCTCTGCCGTGCATGAAGGTCTTTGAATGTCTTTGATATGCCTTCAACACAACGCCGAATTCGATTCCGACCCTTGGTCAAATTTCAACTGTTCAAACCCATATGGAGACTCCCTCGTCTAAATATATCCCTGTATAATATACAATAGTATAAGTAGCAGCTTGTGTATTGCCTTCTGTTTACCTACCAATTGAGTCATGAAAAATACCCGTATCCCATCCCTTTATATTGGCCGGTTCGTACATACTCCTGTTATGGCTCAGTGCATCCAACTTTTTCACCAGTACAACTCCTGCAACCAATCAACAGAGGTATTTTTAGTCGCTCAATCGGTATCTTTGGCACTACTCATTTCGTGAGTTGATTCTTCAATGGATTGGTTGAAGGGAACATCTGCAGGAAACACCCGCTTTTGGTAAAAGCCATGTGGTTTTCTGCTGGTTTTCCCTCAAACCCATGCATCAATTCCATTAATTGATTCTCTTCCAGGGCAGCTCTCCTCCTGCCACGTTTCTTCCAGCTCTGCCCACGAGGAGCTCTCCGTGGTTTTCGCGAAGCTCGTTTCGGCCGTGCAGCTTTGGCCATGGCAATGACTGGCGATTTAGTTTTTTGGAACCACACGGGTTAGTAAAAAATGGGACAGGTCTGCCCAATGTATGACTATTCTGTAGGGTTTATGTATATTTGTTGTTAGTCTATGGGGGAATATGCAGATTTATGGCTATTGATAATAGCGAATATTTCGATAAGTTCTCTATATATATATATAATTAATTATAATTTATAATTATATATTTGTAGAATATTCATTGAATACTGCATTGTTATCAGTGTTGACCAGTGGATTTTGGGGTATCTCGTTGTGGACAAACCCATGTATTGACGGATAACTGACATGTGCAGCTAGCAAATGTGATCGAATATGGATGCCAATCATGACATCATCATCTTATTTCTTCTCTATCATTCGAAGATCTTCGGTCACTTGCAGCTGCTTGAAGTGTTTATGCATGTTTATGCTGCATTTTGGGAATCCTCAAGTCTCTGTCTTCCTGCACGTACAAGGGCCCTTCTGTCATGTTTTTTTTTCGTTCAGCTCTTAACTCATCTGTCGGTCATGTTTCCTTTCCAGGTGCCCCTGGAGCCAAGACCATAGGATCCCATAGGCCGGAGCTAAGCGAATGGTGGACCGGTCAATATAAAGGAAAAGATGGTTTGGTCCTAAGATAAGGTACAATGCCTCAAAATGCAATGGCCTAAACTTGAAACCAGTTTTAAACATCATTTTATCCCTAAATGAATATCAACTCAGACGCAGCTGGCGCAGCAAGCAACGCAACCGTTTCCTGGCAGCCGATCATGTGGACGTCAAATCACATCCTGCGCTGGCATGTCGAAGTTGGGAATCTGCAGAATCCAAACCAAAGGGAATGTAGGGAATCAATACAAACATCCCAACCAAATCAATTTAGACAAGTTGTTGCCATCCAGACATCAAGATAGATCTGATTGGCCGGATCTGGGTGGGTCCCATTCAGAAGAGACTTGCAAAGCCAGTCGAATTCCAGGCCCGCAGTGGGCTCATTCCGCGCTCAGAATCAGCATGGCATAGCAGTTCCGCTGCACATGGGCGGTGGTCATTGGGATATCCAATAAAAGTCAATAAAGATTGATGGTGAAACAGTGAAAAACTCAAAAACGACCTAACTATCAAAAATCTGTAGGTTGGGGGCCTCAAATTTTGACATAGCTTCATCGTTGGATCACGTGCGGCCATGCCAATGAGGGAATTCCAACTACAGGAGGGTGACTGGTCAGCCTGCAGGGAGGAGCCAAGGAAATAATGCTCCAAGGTTGAAGGATTGTGCAAAGCCACAGCCTAGTTGCCTCATAGAGATTGGTATTAATTATTATATATTATTAATTACAATCGTAACATGTCAACAGGAATTTATGCCAATAGAGAACTGGTCCACCCAGAATCTGCTTCATGAAGGTGCTTTAACCTCTCTCACCATGTTGGCATCCTGCAATTGCACAATGCATATTAAATATATTAACAACTAAACATAGTGCGAACATGCCCACTTGCCAATTTGCATTGACAGCTCAACAGGGATACAGACTTGAGAGCATTCCGGGTTCTCACAACGCGTGGCCAACTTGAGCAAGGCAACCAATTAATCCCATACACTCAATAAATCCGAAATACCGTCCGGCACCCTCGAATAAACAAATCCGGTACCAAAGCAGGGTTTTCTGAGAGTATCTAGTATTTTGTGTTCTGGATCCGAATGAAAGTGTTCAAAGGTAGGCTTCATGGGGTCTATACTTCCTGGGTTCCTACTGTATGAGGTCATCAAAAACAGACTGATTGTCCAGTCACACCACAACTGTCTTTAAAAGTTCTGTACTGGCACTTGCCTGAGAAGAGAGCAAGTTGTGGCGACGGGAGACCCCCTTCAAACAAGAGTGACCCATTCCGGATGATGTCCTGACATGAGAAAAATATGTCCAGACAATCAGATAGTAGGTATCATGGACCTTTTGGTTGTTGATGGGGGGTAAACTTGGAAACCCACCCTATTTACATCAGTTTACCAACAAGAAAACTTCTTGCAATCAGAGCCAGGCAGCTTGACAGCAGTCTAGCAGTCAACATTCCCCATTTCTAGTTGATTCTCCTTTCAAAAATCCGAATTGTCCACCAAAAATCACTTCCAAAATGCCGAGAAATTAGAAAAAAATGGGGAGATTCTCCCTACCCTTCAGTTGGGGCATGGCCCACCGCATTTCTGCCGTAATTTCTGCTGTCAGGTGGAGCAGAATGGTCCTGCGCTGCAGAATGGATACCCCAGGATACCCCCATACTGCTAGCTATGGTGCTGGTATATCCACGTATGTCCATAGCGTATATCATTTACCCAAAACAAGTATGACCTAAATGTAGATCGTATCATGGAGCATATGGGAAAGATTTGCTAGTTGGTTCAGTATTGCCTACCAGGACAATCGGTTGCGAAAAACTAGTTGGTTCAATTCTACGTTTTCGTCGTTTGTTTTTTTGAATATGGTCAAACACCAAACATGGGGTAAAATTCGGATAATGAATTTCGAGTTGAGGTCGACGGGAATCCGAGTGTGGTTGTCTACTACCCAAGGGCTTCCAGTATGTGTCCGTGATCAACAAACTGCCCAAAACGTTGGAGTAGATCGTCATTTACAATCAGTATGTTGTCAGTATGCGATTTATCTTTCATTGTGTAGACCACACATTGTCCAAATATATTATACTGGTACTATATGTGGATCCAAAGGCACTGTTATGGTCCATTTGATCGGGAAACCACCCAGGACAGGGCCTTCTGTCTTGTGCGGGCAGTGGCGGGGTAGCAGAGTCCTGTCTAGCAGAGTCTCTTGGGTCAGCAAAATTCATCAAAGGATTAGGTCAGCTTCAGCAAAAATTTGAAGAGTGGAACTGAGTGGAATTTAATCAGTGGTGAAATTCGGTTTCGGATTGGTTTCCAACTATAGAGAAGAGTGAAATTGAGATGCCTTGGATGTTGACAACAGGATCGTGCATAGGGTAAGCTGATGTCTTGCAAACACGCCAAACAGCATACTGGAAGAATCTTGAGTGAATAGTTGATCATGTTGATCCCACGTTGATGCCTCTGTGGCTGCAAAGCTGCTTGGCGCATAGCCGGCCTCGAATGTTCAGCCGGTAAGCGGTAAGCGGTAAGCATGACAAATTCGCTGAAAGTGACTTGAAACCCTGATCCTCTCTCCAGTCTTCCGTCCAACTCGAGGAACATCACAGAGTCATATCCATTCATAGATAATTTATATTTGTTTCCATCAAACACGGTGATTGTCCGTCATGTTTGATTGCCAGCAAGATCAGAAGGGAAGGTCCTGTTTCAGCAGCTGTACAATTCCATGTGCTGTTCCTGCCACACGGCTCCCGGCACGCCACAAGCACAGACGAAACTGGTGATGTCCTGGGAGGAGACCATTCCAGATCATCAAGCTACCTGCTCATGTTGTTGTTAGGAATCATCCAAGTAGATGAAAGTAGTACAAGTGTCGTTTAAGCAACCATATCTGTACATCTCGTTCTGATTACTCATTATATCCCGCGATATCCCCAGTTTCATTCCCATTATCTTCCAATGAATATCCCAGTAATTCCCATTGTATCCCTACCAAATCTCATTAAATCCCATGAAATCCTCAATATCATGAGGTCCCCAGAAACGCTGCTGGGCTCCTGCACTCCACCGCCACCACTGGTGGACGCTCGGGCCGGCCTTGAGGCTCCTGGCCACATGCTGTCGATGCTGAGACAACGTGCTAGTGGTCTATCTATATTATCGAAGGAAGTTTAGAAGAAGAAAGAAGATCAAGAAGAGAAAGAGTGCAGCTCTGCACTCAACTTTCCAGTTTTGAAGGAAGTCTCGCAGAATTGTCTTGTTTTTGATGTTGTCAAGTTCGAAAATTGAGGAAGTCTCGCAGACTTGCTGCGTTTTCAAGCTTGCAGGTAGACAGACAAGACAGACGGCAGACAAACAGATAGATAGACAGATAGATAGATAGATACCGGTAGGTAGACAATTAATACAACTACAACTACCACTACCACTACACTACACTACTGCTACAGCTACAAATACAAATATACTACGCTACATTAACTACACTAATTACCCCGCACTAAACTAATTACATCTAATTACACTACACTACGCCAATTACAATAACAACTGCAACAACAACTACCACCACAACTACAATTACAACTACACTACACTGATTACACTGCAGCACACTACAACTACAAATACAACTACAACTACAACCACACTACATTACACAACACTACGCTACACTGATTACATTGCATTACACTACAGCTACAATGCTACAATGCTACAACTACAGCTGCAGCTGCAACTGCAACTACAACTACAACTACCACTACATTACACTACACTACACTAATTACACTGCGCTACACTACACCTGCAACTACACTACCTTACACTAGACTACACTACACTATTCCACACTACACTACACAACACTACACGACATTACAGTGCGCTACACTACACGAATTACACCACACCACGACTACAACTGCAAGTGCACTTGCAAATACACTAATTGCACTACATTACGGCTACAGCTCCGCTACACTACAACTACAGCTACAACTGCAACTACAACTACAGCTGCACTACACCACACTACATCCAGCAGTTGTGGTAAGGTGACCACTGCAGCCATTGCAACCATTCCAAAAAACACAACTCCAACCACCTGTCGGTCCATTAGTGGATTCGCTCTGTCATACGTGATTCACAACAACCAACCTCTCCTATAGGTTTCCTATTTTTGAAACTTCCGCCACCGCCTTGTGAGGTACTACTGGTATATCTATAGAATTTAATATATATATATATAATTAATGAATCGTATATCATGTATAATATCTACGTATATATAATGAATATTAATGAATATCATCTATATATATATATCATCTATATACAGTATTATAATGTATTATATATATATATAAACCAAAGATGTATATCAGTACAGTATGGGACCAACATGGCACGCCTGGATCCTGGGTGGTCGGGCACCATGGAGCTTCGGAGGCCTTGGACCTTCAAACATGGTCATTGAAGGGGAATTCATGGAATTAATGGGGTTTAATGGGGATATTTTACGGGAATTGAATGGAATGATATAATGCGATTAAACCCCAAACCTGTCAGTAATGGAATTTAATTCGATTTAATGGGGTTTAGTGGGGATATAATGGGAATTTTACTGACTAATTAATGGGATGATATAATTGGATTTCAAACGTGGCTGGCTGGGAAATCCCCAAAACTGCAGGCTTTCAAAGCTTTCTAGCTGGGAAGATGAACAAACAAAATGGTGGATTTATGTGGATTTCCCAGCACGCCACGTTTGATTACCAGCAGGTAACTATTGTGGTAACTATCCAACATAGTGATTGAACATGATTTAGTTGGATTTAATGGGATATGAATGGGATCTACTTGGATATCAAACAGTGCTGGGAAATCCCCGGACCAAATGAGCATTTCAACGGGATTTCATCCTGTAGAAACATAGGGGAATTGTCCATGGCCATGTTTGATTACCAGCTTCTCCAGTGGTTAATGTGTGTATGTTCATGAAGCCTGGTGAACAAGACAACAGGTCCATGAACTGGGATTAGTTTTTAAGTGGGTTGCAACCCCACTTACTAGCCAGTGGCGATATTTGTACAAGTTGGAAGCAATCGTTGTTTATTTGAGTTAATGAAGAACAGATCCAAACAAAAAAAATGAAAAAACAACCTTGATGTCCTTTACAGCCATATTCTGTAGACAGACTATCCATAAAGCCGCTTGTCCAATGCATCTAGAGTGGGCATGACAGAAAAAGAAATGCAGCTGTGTTATTTTGCTTGGGTAAATGTACTGTCAGCACAAACCATGTCTTGAAAACATGTTTTTGTGCGATGATGCTACATTATTGAAATCTAGTCTTTGGATGTCTTTGGGATTGGGATGTTGTCGGTCGGGGCTTTTGAGATTACCTTTTGGCCAATGCAGGTTTGAGTGGCCAACATCGCCAAATCGACACATGGCCATTGCCACAGGAATGACCTGGTGGCTTGCGACCTTTGCAAAACTTGTAGTCTCAACGTTTACCCCCCTTTCAAAATTGATTTGGTGTCCTATGTGTCCTTCAACCTTTTTATAAAATCCATTTCCCCCCCTGGCCAAACTTAAGATTTATTAAAATGCTGTATAATGGTCGTGTATCAACCTTTTGTTAATTTTCATTTTCCCCCCTCCGCTAAAATCACCCCAAAATTCTTTTTCTGGGATCTGACATTTTGATGATTTTCAAGATAACTTTATAATAGCCGTTATTCTCCTGTCCTATGACCTTGTCTTACCACCCCCTCTTCCCACTGTTCAAAATGAATTTGGCGATCTTCACTTTGCAACATAGGGGGGTGCTAGGAAAAACCACTGATAGAATTATTAATTTTGGAGCTAAGACACTCAGGAAAATAATCTGGCGGTACCAAGGGGGATTATCCGAATCGTTTGAATCCAAACTGGTTGATTCTGGGGACCACACTTGGCAGACCTGGAGTCGATGGCGTTGGTGGCGTTTCGAAGCTGTGCCAAGAAGTGGGTGTGAGTGTCTTGCAGTCAAAGCTCCTGAGGTGAGAGTCAGGTGACAAGTGCATGAAGTGCCCCACAAGAAGATGGAAAGGCAATATCATCGAAATAAGAGGGAATAACATTTCGATTTGAGGGCCCCTTATGGGCACATGACATTTTAATTGGCTCAACCAGCTCAAGCACTCACGATTCAGCAGGTGGTTTTGCGCAAATTGTTATGAATGTGGGTAGATGGATTAGCCGCTATAACCCACGAATTTACCGCTTCTCCAGGGGAAGATCTCAGTACAACGTTCGGACCATACTACTTAGAATCTGACCACTATACCAAGCATCTTTTAGCTATCCCAATTGTGGGTAGTCAGAAGTCATACTCAAAATGTGTTAGATGCAGCTATTGTAGTCCCTTGTTCTCGCTAGCGAGTACTTAAACCCATTTTAACTCGCTTCAACTCCATTTCCCATAGGCTCCATGGTGCTGGTGCTGGTAGATCTACTAGCATTTACGCCGGCTATGGCCAAATGTCGGCGACGATCGCAACTACATAATACCAGCACCATAGAGCATATAGGATTTATATGGATTTATATATATATACATACATAGGTCGGCTTGTCCAAAAATAGAGTAGCTCAAAATCCATTATCATGTTTCCCAGCGTCCTGGAACCACGCTAAGGTGAACTGAACGCGGCTCCACTGTAGATGGAAGCAAAGTGGAAAAAACGTTCAAATTGCTATACAAAATGGATCAAAATGGGGTATCCCCCATTTTCGGACAAACCCAGATTTGATTGTGGGTATCCAACTATGTCCCATTACATCCCAAGTTTGGACATTATAATTGCAATAATCATCCTCATTGTAGCCACCATGGTAGGATCTCTCCTTCCCAATGCGTTGCTCCTGGGAGTTCCCGGCTGCGGGTGCTGCGCAGTTGCTGGCTCGGGCCAGAAGCTCCTGTTGAGCTGCGGATTGGTGTCTGAGAAGAGGTTATACAAATTGGTTTGCGGGGGATACCCATAATGGGGATACCAGGATACTACACGAAACCTATATTTATCAAGTACAATGGGATGGGATAGGGATATTTTTCAATGGTTCAGGGCTCAGTATGCTCAGTTCATGTCCCAGGTGAGCCATGTTCTAAATGTCTTACATCCTGGCACCAAATAAGGAAATGCTTACGCCATTGCTTACGTTTTGCTTACGCACCACAGTTTTGCTTAACATGAACACAAGGGTTTAGAACGTGGCTCAGGTGTCAATGTGATATTGGTGTCTCTGAGTACTCGTCGCAGCATCCATTCTGTTCACAGCTAAGGATGACCGTAGCAAAACTCTGGAGATCAGGCTTGATGGGTAAATCATCTAGACTCCAGCGCGATTTTCCAACAAACCATGTTTGACCGGGTTGTATAATTAGTCTGAAATAGTGCAACGGTGTACACCGATTACTGCATGGATAGTCTATAGTGGAAACACATCCCAAAATGATTCCATTGATCGATGGAGGAATCAATAGTCTACATTATCTCCAATCCCGTAGTGTTTTGTTATTTTTTCACACTGAAGTTAGAAGTTGTCATAAATGGGCAGGAAATCCAATTCTTAGGCAAAACCATCATCCCAATAAGTGATTTGATAATAAACATATAAATATGTCCAAATATTATGCCAATTCCGCAACGAAATCTCTAAGCCATAAAAAATACCCCTACCCTATCCAACGATACTGGCTGCTTAATGGGTATCCCTATCATGGGTTTTCCTTGAAAATCATCAATATGCTCCCCTAATAGTAATCATCATAGTCATTCTAAGATTGAACATGATAAGCCATGGATTCTTAGCCAATGAAGGCGGCCCCAGGTCACCAACTCACCCAGTCCTTGGCGTCCCCAGCTGTGGCGCTACACCGCGCAGCTCAGGGGCTTCCGTGGCTGCTGCCCGTGGCAAGCGTGCTGCACGTTGGGGTTCTGGTGTGAAGGAGCCAGGCCGAGGAACCTGGGTCGCTGGGTCGTGTTGGGTAAGCCATGGGCCAGTTGTTGGGATACCCATGGATACCCCACTTACATGGACTTACTAACCGTTTTAACCATGGGCACTAACAAGTACCAAGTGGGAGGATCCTCCACTTCCCGAAATACGAGTCAAAAAATTGTTGTGTCGATTGTGATCATCGTTACAGGATGCAAAAATGTGGAAAATAAAGAATGATACCAATTTTGACCAATATGTGTGACACAAGTGATACCTGTACAGCTTGTTGGGGATGATTTCTGGAATCATTCTTGGCATCAGATTTGGGTACCCCATGCAGAAAGGATGCCGAGTGGCCTCACCAAAAAGTTCCAAATAGGTGTGGGTCAGTCCGCCCATATGTGAGCACGCTTCATTTCCGACTGGCCATCATATCTGTGGTGTTTCTTCCACCAGAATCGCCAATGGCATCCGAGGCACCTGCTTTGCGGCTGAGTTCTCCGGTGTTTTCTTCCGGAGGAAGCCCGCCAGCAAGCGAAGCTCTTGCAGCTCGGGCGATGCCGCTGTCGCTGAGTCCTGCCGAGATTCCTGGCGTACTCCAAGGTGGAAAGGGAGCTACACCTGGACAGAAATGAAGGAACTGGGTGGGTCATGTTTTGGCATCAATTCATCAATTCATCAAATTTAAGTAACAATTCAGTAAAACAGCAAGCCCACTACATTCGGTTCCTTTCGTGGGAGCAAGTGCCTTTCCTCTCAACCTTTACATAAATCCAAAAATCCTTCAAACAATGCAAATATGTTGCGTTAGCTTAAGTCCCGACTAGAACCATTCCATCATTTTTCTTGAATCATCTATCTGGGGTGTGTCCGAAAATGGTGTATAGCTTCGTATACCACTACTCAATCATCATGGTCCGAATTCATTTGTCATTTGGTGAATATCTCGACTTTCAGACACCCCCATTTCTACAACATTCTACATCTACCTCACATTTCCGCTTGGCCGCCTCCACACGGAAGCGAAGCTGCTCCACATGCTGTCGAACCTCTGCCACCGTTGAGCGAACATCCTGCAGAATATTTATTGGACGGTCAGACTCCAATATTCATAAGTACTAAACCCTGACATGATAGATGGCATCCGTTTAGTATAGTATTATAAATAGACCTTCATAAGATAGGAAAGTTATGTTGCTATATATATATTCTTATCTGTATCATTATAATGTGTATCTAAATGTTAGACTTTATTCATACATTTACTATATGTATATAATTGTAAATATGTTTAATATATATATATACTATATATAACTATTGTATATATATATATATATTATATGTATGTATATATATACATACATAATATATATATATATATATATATATTATGTATGTATATATATAATGTATATATATATATATTGTGTATATATATATATTGTATTCTGTATATATAATATATATAATTAATATATTATATAATATATACATAATATATATATATATATTATGTATATGTATATACTATGTAGATATATATTACGTATATATTCATATTGTGCATATATTTATATTATGTATATATATAATATCATTATATATTATTCCATTGTAGTAGAATGTTGCTCTTTTCCTATCGTTTTGGGGTTGCTATCTCGTGTTGACTGCTTGCTGGTTGAGCCACCTGGGTCCTTATGAAAGTCAATGAGGATAATTCCTCCAGGTCTGATTGGGAAAAGATGCTCCCTTCTAATTCCCGAAATGAACAAAGGAACCTAGTGATACATGTGATACAAGAGCTTGGATCTTGCCAGGTACTTTGCATGACGTTCCCGGTATATCAAGTCACAAGGTGATTCAAATCAGCCGACAGACCTCTTTGGTCCTGATGCTGATCCCATCTGATCATTCGGATGCTTAAAGAAACCGTAATGCATCTTGGGGTGCTGTGTGGTTTGCAACATGAACGTATACAAACAGTATATCATCAGGGATCGTTGTTCAAACACGTCACAGACATACAAATCCAGCAAACATTAAGAAGCAACCTATAGAATATCATAAAAAGAAAAGCATGTTGGTTAAAAAAAAAGAAAAATGATGATGATGATGATGATGATATAACTTATTACAACAATAATATCCTGACCATGCCCGCAATCCTCCAAGTGATGCTGATCTTCTTGATGCTTTCGCACCAGCTTGGCGCACTCCGCACGCAACTCTTGAAGCTCCCAATTTTCTGCGCGCCTTACAGCGGGTTTCAGGCAGATTGTTTCACCATAAACATCGCCAAAATCAACGGGTAGAACCAGAGTTAACACCACCAGCACCACCAGTTCGACCATTAGAAATCATGCCTTTTTGAATCTTCATCACCGTTTCACCACCATTTCCGGTGATGTTTCATCATTCATCACCATCTCTTAGAGGTTTCCACCACTGTGACCACCATCTCAAAGAATCTGCCTTACTCATCATAATTCACCAACCTGAAATCCCACTCTTGGGAGACTTCACCTTACAAACCATCAATATTTCCAGCAAAGACCCCATAAACCACCAGCAAAAAGGGCTGGACCCTGCCTGATGGGAGGCCACACCGCTAGCAGTTGCCCCGGCTTCTCTGACCCTTCGGTCGCGCTTCGCGGAGAAACGCGAGGACCTTCTACCTGGCTCTGAAGCTAAAGCGACTGATAGATCTTGGAAATTGTGGTTTTGTCAAATGTTGTCTCCCCAAAAATGGTGGTAAATAAGGCATCGAACTCAAGTTCTGATTGAACCATACAAGTGGTTGTGAGAACTGAAACTGTGATCTTGCCAGCGATTAACTGATTCACCCCACTTGTGGACGATTTTGTTTTTCCTAGTAAAAGTGGAAGATTTAAGCAACAATGACAGAGGTATTAATCAACAGAAATGGGCATGATTGATGCGGTAATCCAAAAAAAACTGGGAAAGTATGGGTGAGAGAGAACAATCCAAAACTGTGTCTGTATATTTTTGGTCATAAAAATCCAAAAAATATCAAAACAACACATTTGACAACTCTGACTTGTGTACTGTAACCCTCTTCAAATGATCTCCAAAAAGTAAAGTAAACCAAACCAACATAACAAATAAATATCAATGGTTGAGGGTCTACCAAATCAGGTAGATAATGTGGTAAATCCAACTCAGCAAAATCTTGGGACCAAACTTGCCTCGCAATTTTCAAGGGATCTCATGGCATAAATCATTCCAGGTAGTGAACTTACTGCTGTTTGAAGGGATCAATAACAATCTGTTGCAAATTGTAGCAACTTACTGTAAGTTGTTTATTCTCGTGGCCTTGCAGCGAGTTGCGCTCGATGAGCGACTAGACTATCCCTCACGGTGTGCCGTTTTCAGCATTGATCGAAATATTAGCGTATAAAAGCCAAATATCAAAATTCAAAATTGATCGAAATAATTAGCGTGGATATCCATTTCATTCCATCTTTTCCTATCTGGGAACATGGCAGTATAGCTATGTCATTCCGTTCACACCAAAATAGCTGGTATGGCCTGGATATTCCCCCAAGCATTCTCCTGCGCTTTTTAGCGCACCGGGCAGGCTCCCACCTCTGTCGGCTTCATCAACGATGAATGCGACCGTGGAGAGAAGTTGGGCGAAAGCTCAGCAACTGGCAGACATGGCATGAATGATCCTGGAACTTCTCCTGGAACTTATATGGCCAGTCTTACAATATCTTAGATATTCTGCAAAAAAAAAGAGCAACCTAAAGATCCCATGATGGGTAATCTTAGATCCCCTGCCAAAAAAAAAACGAAAAGATCCCCTCATGGACTATTAGAAACTGCAAAATTTACTGTGGATATACTGTTTGAGATGAGAAGGATCTATCCCCATGGAGTTGTTGAAGCCTGGCTGTCGAGTTGTTTATTGGCATTGGGATGGTGTGTTTCCATTTGAAATTCTGATTTCAAGATATTTCAAGGCATGTTTCTGCTGTTGGGAGCGATGATTTCATAGGAACCGCACCACCATGAGGGGCCGATCTAATTCGACAGCTGCGTTTTGGGGTTCAGTTCCGTTCACGACACTGCAAGAGATGGCACGCGGGACGGACCGTTGCCCAGTGCAAAATAAAACCTCGTTCATGAGAATATCACCTAAACTATAAACAAACAAGGTAGAATAACTTCCCAAAATAGTTATATTGTATATACGTTTGTATATATATATATACACACGTATTTATATATATATATATATATAATGACATAATAACATATAATTATATAAGCAACAAGAAGTTTGGTCACTGCTCAGTCATTGAGCTTTCATCGCTAAACACGGCAAACGAAAACATCGTCCACCCTGCTCCCAGCACCTAGTTCTGGCTCACTCCTCTCGATCAGCTCCATTAGGCGTCGGTAATCGCTGCTGAGCTTGATAAATCTCGGGATTCGAAAACCACGGCTGGTTGTTGGTTGAAGGTGGTTGATCAAACATATATACTAGATACTGACCTTCACAAAAGCTCAACCTGAAATCCCCCTTTCAAACACCAGGGCCCTGGAGAATGTATTTGTTGAATGCCATTTCCGGATAGTTCAAAAGTATATAATCATATACTTGTATACACTTGTATATACTTAAATAATCTTATATATATATATAATTGTATATATTACTTATACTGGTTGGTGGTTTCAATCCCTCTGAAACATATTATCCAGTTGGGATGATTATTCCCAATATATGGGAACATATAAAATGTTCCAAACCACCAACCAGTATACATATATATTTATATATATTATATATATTATATATATATATTATATTACTTGATGTTCCCATGGACCAACGGTCATCCCAATGGCCCCTTTTTTATGCCAAGTTATTGAGGTCAAAAAGTGACCACTGGAACTTCGAATTTTCTTCGGATCAAACTTCTTCATTAGTTGATATGTGGATTTAACATTTCTTTAACCATCTAAAACATTCTAAAATCATTTAAGACCATCCGTTTTGATCAATTTTGGGGGCTCAGAAAATTGATCCGCACCTAAATCTTCGGTTCCAAGGGACTCCTGCTTCAATCTGCTACTCGGCGATGACCTGTGGCGACAGACGTTCGTGAGCATTCTTGGCCTTGGGACATGGGAGTTGAAACAAAATTAGAATATATTAGAATCATCCCCAATAGATTTTTGTGCTTTGTCACAGTGCATAAGTGCATAAGTATATCCCAATGGGCCAGGATTCATATAGAAATTCACATGGCTTTCCTAAGTGGCTATGGTTTGCCGCATTGGGGAGATCACACCATCTCGAACGTTTTAGTGCATGTGCAAAACATTAATAGGATCAGAATTGAATAGATCCATTCACATATAGTATCATCTAATAATATAATCAATAGTTCTATAGAAACAAATGCAGATGAAAAAATATCAACCATCTGTATCGTCTTTAATGGAGTGTTTCTGCAATGTCACATGGGTGTATCTCAAAATGAGGTAAACCATCAGAAAATGAGGACTTTCCTTTGAATTTCCGGTGGATTTGGTGGCAAAACCCTCGTTTCAAGAGCACAACTGCACCGCCTTCCAAAAGCATGCACCACTTTGGCGGCCGCAGGGCCGGATTCCATGGCACCCGAAGTCTTGTGCACCCGTGACCGTGGAGACCTTTGGCGTACAAAAAGATCCACAAAATGATGGGCTTCCAATTTCTCATCCTGGATTAATCCTGGATTTGGCAAGGGCCGATTACAGTGATTACCCTCTGGTAATTTAACATAGCCATGGAAAATCACCATTTTTAATGGGAAAATCCACTATAAATGGCCATTTAAATTACCAGAGGGCCAGAGGGTACAGTATCTGACATCCACTGGAATTCACTGAGTGTCTTCAGCCTCTGTTGGATGATGTGGTTCCAACATCTGAGCCGACTCAGCAGGGCGTCATGAAAAACGCATTGATCTACGAGGGAAAAAACCGGGCAGTCGTGTTGTTTCTTGATCAAAAATCAACAGTTCCTGTAAACTACATAATTCTTATATAATCAATAATTATCTATATACATATATATACTATGTATATATATATACACATAATAAACATATATATATATACACATAATACATATATATATACATAATATATATAATATATAATATGTTTGCTGGCGCGGATTCGCACCAGACCACTAAGCACATTCCAGGCAATTTGTCTGGCTTCCACACTTGAGCCATCTCCAAACAGACCATTTTTTTTCAGCTTCCAATGCAACCGGTCCTCATTGAGCTGGAGATAGCTGGAGTCAGCTGGTCCAGGATGTTCACAGACTTCACCAACTCGTCGCTCCAAGGGAAACTTCCACAAGATCTGGGTCCAGTCACGCCTGTTCCGCATACCTCGCTGCCATTGTCTGAAACAGAAAGTGAAGCATCCGGACTCTTCTCACTTGTGCTTGGCTGTGCAATATACAGCCAACACCGCCAAAGAAAGTCATGGTCACAAAAGAATCTGAATCCATTAGAATGCCAAAGTCACCATGAGTCACACACAAATGATATAATATTATATATATTTATATTATATATCCCAAATAGGCATGTTTAAATGAACAACCAAAGGTATACACAATGAACATCTAATTGTGCAATGATTAAGAGCCATCACAGAGAAGTTCCAGCCAAGACTCGTTGGCTTCTCATCATCTGGGTCATAGGGTTTCATGGCAATTTCCTGGTCACAACATTTCTGCCATCAACGGGTCGAACAGAAACCCAGCTGTCCCACGAAATTCACTGGGCGAATAGGTAACCTAAGGGACCTGGCTCCATCAAAAGTCTCAACATGAACCCGTTAAACCAAAAAGCAAAAGTACGAACTAACGACGGTTTGAGAGGTTGATCTTCTTTTTAACCTACAAGCGGACGCCCTTACTTACCCCATCCACCTAGTAGTTACCCCATCCGCAAGGCACACCGAGTTACACCAGGGCAGACAATAGTTACCCCAGGTTTCAAATCCCCAAGGCACAGCGGCTCAGACGCATTATGTTTTGAAGTCGTTGCAAACTTTGAATCATGTCCCTAGCTTGCGTTTAGCTATGCTAGGAATCAGAAAATGGGAAGGTGCGACCTGTCAACTTGGAGTCAGATGTCAATGGCACACCGCCAAGAGCAATTCCAGGCCAAAAGCTTAGCCAAGCACTGAAACAGCATCACCAGCTTGCGTTCTGGTATCTCCGAAAGAAACAAAATAAAGGGTGTCCATTCTCAAAAACAAACTAATGTCCGCAATGGCCCACTTGCAGGAGAGTGGAAGACTTTCACGAAGTCGTTGCAAACTTTGAATCATGTCCCTAGTTGCATTTCGCTATGCTAGGAATCAGAATATGGGAAGGTGCGACCTGTTAACTTGGAGTCAAATCTCAATGGCACACCGCCAAAAGCAATTCCAGGTCAAGAGCTTAGCCAAGCATTGAAACGATGTGGATAGGTCCAAAAGATCCTAATAAGGTCCGGAAGATGAGGTGGAGGAGGATGATGTTGCGGAAGATGAGGTGGAGGATGATGATGTGGAGGATGATGAGGTGGAGGATGACGATGTTGAGAAGGAGGAAGATAGTGATGTTGAGGATGATCATGTTGAGGAGGAGGATGAAAAGGATGATAATTAATGTTGAGGAAGAGGAGGTGGAGGAGGAGGATGTTGCAGAAAATGAGGTGGAGGATGACGATGTTGAGGATGATGATGTCAAGGGGGAGGACGAGGATGATGCTGAGAATGGTGATGTGGAGGAGGAGGAAAATGATGATACTGAGGAGGAGGAGGAGGAGGAAAAGGAGGAGGAGGAGGACCGATCACAAGACCCCCGAGTGTGTACACACTGTGTGGGAAACTCACGTTGCTCCAGGGATTGTTAGGGGGCAAATGGATATAACTTGATATAACTAATGTTTGCCATGTTAAGAATCCCTGCGTGCCTATGCGTTGTGCTGTAAAGATCATACCAAATAACAAATCATGTAGTAATTCATTCCAGTGGTTGTGTCACTTCTTCCGCATGGCACACCGAGATGAGACAACAAAGTGCTATCTGAGACAAGAAAGGGCTTTCACCCAGTATGAATCATATGAAACATCAACAATATTAAGAACAATAAGTTTGTTTAAGACTAAAAAAAACTCCTCGTCACCCAAATTGACTTTAAAACGGCCCGAGTGTCGTTGTTGCGCCTGGCCTGTTCCGGCCTGGTGCCCGGCGCGCAGAACTCGGAAGCTCTGTCGCTGGAGCCGCAACAGCGCCAATGCCTAAGCCGCCGGAGCCGGGAGGTCACCCTTCATAGCCATGGATATACCATGGGTATGCCATGGGTATACCAAGTTGCTTGTAAAAAAAGGAGGAACCTGATGATGTTGAAATGATTGAGCAGTAGATGTACGGTGATTTCCAACAAGTTACCTGGGACCCATGGATATGGTCATCCCGCAGTCGTGAAGGGAAATTCGTTGATCATTGGATAAAACGGGTCCAGGGGTGATCTCTCTTCATGTGAAAAGGCATCAGTGTGCTGATGTGAAAAGACATCATGTTTTGACATGTTTTGACCATGCCACTGTGCTGGTTATATAATTTGTATACTGTAACAGTCCCTTGAACAAAAATGGAAGTATAAGTCACTACAATTAACAACCAACGAGGCGCAAACAATTTAGCGCTATGTTTGAGTCATAGTGTTCTACCTGGAACCCTAAACAAACAGAAAAATAGATCTCCATCATGGTGGTGAAGAGTACAGTCTCACTACATCAAACACAATTTTTCAATGAAACCACCATTGGTTTCTGCGTGTTTGAGGTTTTCCAGGTACATGGGATGTCCCCAAGTTATACATGTATATATTATATATAATACACAATTTATATACACAGAGTTTGTCGCCCACTTACTATAAAAAATAACGGGGATGCACATCCAAGTGGTAATCTTTCCGAGTCGGGATCGTTCGTAAAGTGCGGACTTCTGTCTTAAAATCTCGGCAAAAAGAGAGATCATGGCTTCGAGATTTCAATGACATGAAACATATGTCCAATTTTATGGGACTTGTCCTCAGAAGCTCTTGAGATATCATGATCGATATCTTGCCACTGCGTGTGTGATTCGTTGCTACTCAACGCAGACTATCAGAGCGTTTTTGAAACCCACAAACTACAGAAAGTTCCAAGTCAAACGAAGCAACGGTGATTCCCACATACTGTGACCGGCGTGAAGTGCGGCCATGGTACGTACTGGCACCACAATCTTCGCACTTGTCCTTAGCGCTGTTCACAGAAGCATTGCTGATTCTGGGCAAATTATTTTTTTCCAAGTCCATTTTTGGGTGGTTCCGTTACAATTTATAGTACCCAAATGATTCTTCTGTATTCTCATCTGTGCTGGAGCATGTCTGTTGCCAACAGCAGCTTCGAATAATAATGCTTGTCGGGGATGAAGTTCCCCTCTCTTAGCCTCTCCTGAAACCCAACTCTTTAAACTATATATGAGTTTGTCTGCATATATGAGGTTCCCCTTGTACCACTAAATCCATAAATCAATAATCATTATTAATTATTCCTATTGACATGGCATAATTTAAGGATAGTTGTGCTCCTTTTTCAAACACACCATGTGTAAGCGTCGAAAGATGATATATGGGGTATGGTCATCCCACTGTCATTAATCACTAGGGATTCTTTATAATTCATGACCTCGTGCCTCGAAAGCTTCTTTTGATATGAAAGAGGATTGTAATAATACAATTAAACCGATTAAACCACTTAAGTGCAACCCCACTGCTAACCACTCAAAAACCATCCTTGAGGAGTTTACATTGCGACTTCTGAAGGTTACCAAGCTGTTCGGTTATCAACCTGTTCGGTTACCGAAACCCATCTATAACCAACAACCATCAGCGATAAGGCCCATAAGCATCGACCAACATCTGAAACGGTCGCTCTCTGCAGCTCAAAGACACCACAATTGCCCAGGCCTTCTGGTCAGCTAAGCTGACAATGGAAAAAAAAACATGCTTCTGGATAAACATGATCTATGGTGATAAGATGTTATGAGCAATTTTATTTCGAATTTTCCAGTCTCTACAGGCCCAAGGCTATGATAGCTCTGTGGGACAATCTTGTTTGTGCTTTTCCGACTTTCCATTGACGGGTTGGATTGCCGTAAGGCAATAAGGAAATGTAACAGGCATGTGGGAATGGGTCAAAACCATTCAAAATCTTTGAGGGAATCAATGACTATAATGATGCTAGCAACAAGGTACTGTATTTTAATATATTTTAATGCGAAGATCGGGGTACCATGGCCAAAATGTATGACAAGAAGATCAACAACCATGCCCAAAACAAACAAGAGTCATGGCAAACAGCCAGCAATAATGAATAGTCCAGTCATGGGCATCCAACTGAAACAAGGATCCAGGCTAGGTGATGTTCACTGGTTTTTTCCATTCAGATTCACCTGGATGTGTCTGAGAATTGGACATGCCACATCCCAAATTGGTAATTTCATCTGGATGATTGAGTGGATTAGGGCACCGATGATTGGACAGACCTTGGCGCATCTGTTCCACAAACCGCTCTGACTGCTACCATCGCTATCATCGCCGATTTGAGATGCCTCCATTGAAATGCATAGCATAATGTGGCAACCCCAATGCCATATACCATCGCATTAACCAACCCCAATAGGGGCTTCATTTGTAAGATTTTGTCATCATCCCAAATAGGAAGCTATAATGAGTTATACTACCGTGATACCCAATAATAAATTGATACACTATCTTTTTCATCAACCATTCACCAGTCGAAGCCGGAGTGCCCCATCCCATCCCAACTCTTTCAACTTCTCCAACCTTCACAACGAGCTGTCCCGGTTGGATTACCTGTCCATGGCTTTGGTCTAAAGCGGTGACTCTGACTGTTGGGGGATGGTTTCGATTCCGTTTTTAGCCCCCAAAATGGTCAAATTGGATACTTGGATATAAATAGGCTGTGGCCTGGCCTTTTTGATCCTTTTTGGTTTTCTTATACCATCATATACGAGACTGAAATAATTACATTAACATGCTCAATTCTGTTCTGTTGCGTTTTGTGGCTCATTGTTATGTGGAACTGGTGATCAGGTCGATCTGCATGGATCCTGCGCTTCACTTGTATACCATCCCATTCACCAACGATGAGGGTCATGTTATATCACAGATGCAGGGGTATACGGGGTAATGTCAACCCCGGATTCATAAACCCTAGGCTGTTTCATTGGGGGAACCACCACAATTAATCAACCAGGGTTTATTAATCCGGGGTTGACATTATACTTGAATTCATAAACTCAAATTGAGGACGGCAACTGTTGGGTTTACCTCACCAAAATTGGGGTTGCCCCAGGCCCAAATCAGACGCTTCAAACGATAGGGCCATGGTGCACATTGGATTCTACTGTTTGCCATCATCTGAATCCGTACAGGTATGTCCTAGAATTCCTAGAAGTCGGGACGACAATGAAGCCGATTTGAAAACGCCAATGATAGATCAATATTGGTTATTTCACTCAGAGAGAATCAATATTGATTAATTATTGATTAGATGTCCATTTCTTAGTCAGTCCCCAAGGAACATTTGAAGTACAAATTTAGAGTACAATATTCTTAGGGGTACAACTCATTAAGCAATTTCAAACTATTGAAACAGTGGGATCAAGACCAGGAGCATCCTAAAACGACGGTCCAAAAATGTTCGATTTTTTTGTGGATGTGTTCATCACAATCTCCCAGAAAAAATCATCTTTGTCCTGTCAAGTGCGTCATTCTTAAACATTCCCGAACAATGACTCTAAATATGAGCAGGTCGGATATGGTTAAATAAGGTATCAAACACACAAGAATGGAATCAAATGGGATGGAGGTGTGAATTTCAACTACAGATGATCGTTGTCAAAACAATGGGCCTGTCGAGTCTTGCTGATTTTCCATTCGGCTGTTCCTTGCTTCTATTGGGAAAATATGAAATGTGAATTGGCATGAATTGGCAAAGCCGTCTCCAGCTGAACCGTGACAAAGCAATCTGTTGATGTTGATTTATCGAGCAATCCTTCGACTCGCCTCCGCAGCCGGTCCAAGCAGAGTCGCTTGGCCACTCTACGTGTCGTGGTGCGTGGATCATCAGGGACAACACCAGCACGTCGCTTCCTAAGGTCATCCAAGGCGGGGCCCCTGCCTAGTGTGGGGAGATAGGGCCCAGCCTCGTTCCCCTTCCTTCAGATCCTCGGTAAGCCCCAGCAACATGTGGAAGGTTGGATTTTTTCAGTGAATCATTGGATTGATTTAAGGGACATCTACAGGAAACCGTTTTTACCCATCAAAGATGGGGGGTTCAGGCAATTGAATGACAGTTTCATTAAACTATGACCAGGGATAGATGGGTTTATCCAAGACAAAGGGGCATGTATGTAAGCTATATGCACGAATTCCACTGGTGATGTAGTCATCATATTCCTGACCCAATGACATGTTTGGGGCCATGTTTGAGCTTCTAGAGAGCATGCATTTGTCTGAAAAACATGGGAACACATGGGAACACACAAAATGTATCATAATTTCATGTTTCATCACATTGGCAATGCAACAATTGCCAGTTTCGGCGTCCCCCATTATTGTTCCATCCCAGATGTGATGAGAAATACATCGCTGAAAATATCCCAAAAAACTTGCCAGATATAATTCCAGTTCATGATTGTCAAATCCATCATGTTTGTCTATGTGTGTATTGTATTGTATTGTAATGTATGTACCGTAGTGTAGTGTATGTAGTGCATGTAGTGTATGTAATGTATTGTAATGTATGTAATGTAGTGTATGTAGTGTATGTAGTGCATGTAGTGCATGTAGTGTGTGTAACGTATGTAATGTATGGAATGTATGGAATGTATGGAATGTATGGAATGTATGGAATGTATGAAATGTATGGAATGTCTGGAATGCATGGAATGTATGGAATGTATGGAATGTATATAATGTATGTAATGTATGGAGTGTATGGAATGTATGGAATGTATGAATGGAATGTAGGTATGTAGGTATGTAGGTATGTAGGTATGTAGGTATGCAGGTATGCAGGTATGCAGGTATGCAGGTATGCAGGTATGTGGGCGTGCGTGCGTGCGTGCGTGCGTGCGTGCGTGCGTGCGTGCGTGCGTGTGTGTGCGTGCATGATATATATATATATACATATTTATAATATGTATGTGTATATATATATTATACGATATTATATGTATATTCCCCATGTTTGATACCTATCTAATGCACGTGTGCCACTGTGAGAGACCCTGAGCATCCCTGAGCCAAGACTCCAAGTGCGACAGCAGCGTTGTCCCTTGATCGAGGCCCAGCACAATGGTGTCGTCTTAGCTGCACCGCAGCCATGTGGCCAGTCGTTGGAGTTGATCTTTTGAATGTTTTGATGGAGCTCCAACAAACTAACATAGACATTCTACCGAAAACCCATGAAAACCCATGGTTTTCTAAGGAACATGAACTAAAGAGTCGAATTTTCCATATCTCAGCATTCTCAACTTTCTCTCAGGGTATTTTCCTTGAGGGTATTTTAGTGACCTAAGCCATGGCAATCCGTTGGTTAGATGAGCTGCGAAAGAGTCGTAGGCATTCCACGGGTTCCGACACAGCCTTTGCCACTTGCTGCAGTAGCTCTCCCACTGTAGCGTCCTCATTCAGGTCCAGGTCGCAAGCAATCCTCGGTCAGAACGAAACGCAGCAAACACGACCGATTTACATCGCATGAGGTTTCAAACCACGGAAATGTTGAGTTTCCTTTGCACAAACAGATTTCAATGTGTCAAACCATGTCACACCAGAAGCGCTTTAAAGAGATTAGAAAACAAATGCTACATATAATCCTAAAGTACATGGTGCGGGTGTGTTTTTCTTCAATCCAGCATCACTTCGACCGACTCGAGTGCGATTCCCGGTAGTTGTCACTATCCCTATCAGTGCGGTGCCCCCACTCATAAGTTTGTTTAGAAACATGCATAAAGTCCATTGACTATATGTAGACATGTCTACCATAACCCCTAGAAATACTGGATAAGATACAAACCAACTTAGCCAACTATGGGACACCACCGTTGAGCCCAGATTCCCTCCGCTCACCCGGAGACACGCAATCTTCATGGCCCGAATGTTGGCCAAAAGGGGCTTCAACCATCAAACATGGGGATATGATGGTTGAGATCGACTTGGGATCCGAAAACCCCATGACTTGGAGGATCACCCCACTTCGTACACTTCGTAACAGTTCGTAACTGTGTGTTGTTGTTTTTTTTGTAGTGGGACTATGATGGACTATGATCTTATGATCCAGTTATAAATGGAAGCCAGGAATGGAGGACGAATCCACCAGGCTTACGACCAGTTTCACTCCGTGGGATGATCTTTTAGCGTAGGTGCAAACCTGCTAGAGGTCTTGGTCCATGTACCCAAAACTTGGGATTTAAACATTCAATTCCTATGCATTTTAAGGATTCCTCAAATATATATAAAGATATAACATCTTCCCAAATCCACTTGCTCTTAGTCTTGCAGTGGACTTTCTATTGTCGCAGATCGAAGACCTAATAGTTTGGAATGCTCACAGAATCATGCACCAACAGGCAGCTTTCGGGGTCAAAACAATGCATGAATTGCTTCAAAGCTTTTGCTGATCTTCTGCTTCTGAGCAAAGTCCAGCAGTTGCATCAAGTGCTGACTGCCCGCAAGAGAAGAATCAACCACAAGCTGTCCACAAGAGATCCGGACATGAGCTGAGCATCGAATGGTGGAGGGAGTGAAGGCATTCCAAGGGAATATATATTTTTCTTGGGCCCATCTCCATGTTCCAGAGTCAGATCAAGGGAAAAATAATCACGAGCGTTTTCCACATGTTTAAAGGTTAAAACCTGGGTATCTTCTAACATTGCCCCAAAAATCAACCCAATGACCATATGATGACTACTGACCACTCTTCCAGTGAAATAGCACAGCATTTGACCACGTGTGAGTCCTTTCATCCACTGAAGCAAACACTGTGGATTGACGATATGATACATCGAGATGGAGCGTACTTTCAGCCTTCCCATCGCCAAGTCAAGCCATTGACGTGTCGTTCTCATCTCCCAAGGCTTGAATCTCATGGGATGACTTTCATCCTCAAATGTGACCATCTGCCGTTGATGGAAAGGCCGCCAGAGCTCTCTTGATTCATTAAGCCGGTCTGGCACAGCGCTCACTTTCCAAACTGCAAGTGGAAAAAATAAACGACAAGGAGGGAATCAAGGTAAAGTCTCAATCTCTGCTTGAAAGTTGATGATGATGATAATGATGCTGCTGTTCATGATTATGATACCCTGCATCAGATAGCGAGGCACTGCGACCGAATAAAAATTAGCATGCAGTTCATGCAACCGCATCTTGTGGCGTGGGCTGAGGTACATTTGACCCGAAGCCCCATTGGAACCCCAAGCATACACCCCCCCACTGCAGGGCACAGCGATGCATTGGCTTGATACGTTCTTTTCTGCAGTGGTGGAGGATGGAAAAGCTCTTGCAGGGTCTGCTTGAAGCCAAACACGACTTTGAATACCAAAATAGACTTCACATCTGCATCACCATATCTTGGTGAATCAGATTACACACATTGAATATTCTCGAATAATATATGTATGTCATATTATGCCATGATAATTTAATATATGTCATGTATACATACTGCTAGTATCAGCTTCCAGGGTTTGTCCAATGCCATGCTTCGATTGCCATGTGATACATATGGGGGTTTGCTAAAATGGGGGTACCCGAAATAAAATGGATGGTTTGCAATGGAAAATCCTATTAAAAAAATCCTATAAAAATGGGTACCCCCATTGTAGGAAACCTCCATTTGCATATCCTAGACCGAGGCAAATCCAACAATAAACCCTCCCCCAATTATATGGATGGTTTATCATTGGGTTTACCACAGCAAATTCTTGTTGGATGGACATAAAAAGATCTGCCTTGACAAATGAGCCATGACAAATAGCTGCATCACATCTCATGATATCTTGTATTAACCAATCAGCAGTGGTATCTTTAATGGCTCAGAACCGACTCGTGTTGGACTCAAAAATGCCCGCATCCAAGGCTAACCTGCACGCAGGGCAAGGAATGGTACGAGTCATCTGCAAAGGCAAAAATAGTAAACATACAAAAACCTGTATATGGAAATTGCTGCATTTTCCTAGGGTCTACGGATGTTGGACTTTACATATCTATCTTAGTTTACTGAAGGAAATTATCTAAGAACTTCTTCCGAAGGTACTTGTTCCTTGGGTTCTTGCTTCAGCTTTACTTTCATTTCGATCTTGCTTTCGAGAGTCTTCAATATTGATGAAAATCCTAGCTGGCTATTACATACCCAATCTATCGCAAAAGATCGAAGTATCAAACTACCAAAGGTTGACGCAGAAGCCCCACTTGTTGGAGTCATGGTTGGTCACTTTGGATGGAAATGGATCAGGTCTCGTGAACGGTATAAATTTGCAACATATGCTGCATATGCCTATATCATATATTAAAAATATTTATATAATGGCATCCAATTATGTCCAGTATCAATGGTAATCTTGAGCAGGATCAGATAAGAAATCAAGACACGTAGTACAGCACCCTCCTGTAAACTCACATAAAACATCAGAAAACTGGAAAACCCAACATGTGAACATAATTGTCCTAGGAAACCACGGGTCTTCCACATCTATGTAAGTTTACCCCAAGGTATCCAATATACCAAAAAAAACAGTGTCAAGTCATGACCCAATGAGACACATATCAAAGTCATGGTGCCATGGTTTAGCAGCTGGTTCTTGTGGATGTTCATCACCCCAGCATAGTGATGTGCTTGCGATCATGGGATTGTCATCCCATCAATATAATCGTAAAATCCTCATGGATATAATTAAGGAAACTGCGACTGCGATTTTGCTAGGTATCCAAATTAATATCTCCAAATGAAGACTCAGAGGAATGAATCTGATCAGTAGGTTCAACCCATCCCAAACATGTTCCAGAAATTGGGATTCATATAAAAGAGGGCCATGATAAACACTACATATTATGGGCTGTATCCCAGGACACCCTACAGTTCACAGCAAAGTAGCTGGTTCTTATGGATGTCCATCCCCCCATCTTCATGGAAAAGCATAGGTGTTGACCCATCCCAGTGTTCATTGGTTACACGCTTACACATGGCCATGGCCAATCTTAGATACCCCGCATTTAATTGTCAGCTGATTGGCACATATCCCCAGCCAAAGATCCAGTTAAGGCTGACCAAGTGTTCAGTTTTCCTGTAGGATTCCATTATACTGGTTGGTTAATCATGGTTCATCGTTTTAAGAGCTGGATTGCCAGTTCATGGATGATGATCATCCCCAACATATGTGGATAAATTGCAACAATTCACCTGTCTGAAGTAACGCCATTTTGGGATGATTCCTCTTGTTGACCATCACTCCAGAGACGATGGTATACTTGGATGTGCATCCCACTTGGTAAGTTGTTTATAATCCATATATATATATACAGTATATATATATACATATGTATGTATGTATGTATGTATGTATGTATGTATGTATGTATGTATGTATGTATGTATGTATGTATGTATGTATGTATGTATGTATGTATGTATGTATGTATGTATGTATGTATGTATGTATGTATGTATGTATGTATTAATGTAATGTAATGTAATGTAATGTAATGTAATGTAATGTATGTATGTATGTATGTATGTATGTATGCATGTGTATGTGTATGTGTATGTGTATGTGTATGTGTATGTATATGTATATGTATATGTATATGTATTTGTATATGTATATGTATATGTATATGTATATAGCCAATATTTCATCCAATATGTATATATAATTATATATATAATAGAGAATATTCCATTAATCCAACTGTTTTTTTTACACCCATCCCATACTGGACTGTATAATCCCCACTCACAAACCACCAGGGATTTTGAATGGCCTATGCCTTGCGCTCCGTCGGGGGCCTTGGCAGGCTGGGAAATCCACCATAAATGGAGATTTTAATGCGAAAATCATATATGTACTTGAAGGTTTTTGATTGGTGCTGCCCAGAAATTGAGGTTTTAACCATCAAAAACAGGGATATATGACTCATATGACCAACAAAATGAAGGTAATGGAATGTAATGGGTTACATAACCAAAAAGCTATCTATATAGGTTTGTTTATCAAACATCGCTACCTTACAGTGATGAGAGCACTGGTTTTGGGCCCACAATACTAAACCCTTTCTCTTGCGGTATCTAATGTTTGGGGGAAGGGATTGGACAATTTCATCAATTTCTTACAACATATTACAAAATGATACAAGATGATACAAGTAATAAGTAGGGGGCATACAGCCTGCCATAAGCAAAACTTAGTCCTGGCAACTGGCATATGGTTTCTTGGGAATTGTTGTCATTCAACTTTTCTTCTGGGCATAGTCAGGCCACGCCAAGGAGAAGAAGATTTCCTTTGATCTGCCAACGGGACGACGTTCAGTTCGAACGACATGCTCGTAAAACTCAGCCCATTGCTCGCACCTGATGCTTATCATGGTTTCAAGCAACATGAGTGAAAACCTCTCCAAGTCGGCACGGTGCTTGGGGTTTCTCTCGGCATGCTCCCTCGTTCTCCCACTCCCAGTTTGGTTGCATGATCCCATTTGGGGTTGCATCCCAATTTTGGGTCGATGTTCATTTGATTTGTTGTACCAGCATGTTTATTGGTTAAGTCATCATTTTCAGATCCTGCCCGCCAAACTTTCTGCCACCGGACGTCACATTTGGTCGCGCAATCCGCTTTGCCAAAGGTGATGCCTGACGTCGTGGCACACGGATACACCAGTGATCAAGGCCGGGGTTCTTCGTAAATGGTCCATTTACGCCCACGAAATCAAAGTTTGATTGGGGAAAGTGTTGACAAAACACTGACACTGTAACACACTGTGTGGACCTCATTAACAAGCCAAGACTTGGGTCAGGATAGCTGCACGTGAAAATCACATGGGTATATAAGACCTGCATAGATTTGCCTATCTGTATTTGAGTGGTTGATTTGTAATGGCGTGTCATTGCACTGTGATGTACGAGTAAGGCAGTGCAATGTGATTGCACAATGTATGTTGTTGGTACTGTCAACTGTGAACATATTAATTCCGCCTGCACCTTTCAATAACACCAATATCATCATAATCTGCAATTATAGTTTCCATAAATCCATATAATGCCAATTACTAGCATTTATTAGCCATATCATGGATTCAACTAACATATTGATTAATTATCATTCAATTATCATGTCATCACCCCATTGAACATGCTAGCAAGTGCTACCAACTGCGAGCATGACACCGCACTTCCCATTGCAGTTCTGAGGCCTTCATCGTATTGGGATCTGCCCCAACCTTGGTCCCCCAGTGGTCACCATAGGTTTACCAAGCCATGGTCATCCGTGACAACTGGATGAGGGCTGCCCGCATGACTTAGGAACCTCCAGTGAAATCGCCATGTTGGGGTATACTCCATTTCTGGACACAGCTGTTGAAACTGATTGTCCTGGCAAGAGGTTCAATAGAATCATCTCTGAGATGAAATGAGCAGAATCTGAAGTACAGGATTCAGAAACCCCGCTGGCTACAAAATGGCCCTTCTACAAGTGACAGTCCTTCCCCAGGTGGTTTGCCTCATCAGGGCTTGACAGTCCGTCACTGACAACCTAAGGATTCATCTCTCTTAAAATTGCTTGGTCTAAACATAGGCTTCGCCCACATCCTCTGGTTTATCATCACTTTCCCAGATTCAAATTGGGCCAATTTAGGGGTATAGTATACGGTCCCTTTCTGGGCAAACCTATGCTATTTCAACGGGCAAATGGGGCCCCCCGCCAAGCTCCCTGACGGCTGTGGCGGAACGATTGGCTCCTGACAGCTGACTGAAGGACAAGAAGGGAGACTTAACCACACATTTAATCCAAATGATATCCAAATGCCAATCTAATTTGATCCAGAAAGGAGATGATCGTTTCTATACTTCTGAATATGTAATGAATATTAGTAATTCTATAATCATACTCTTAAGCTGAGTGACCACACCATATGTTGATTGAATATGATGGGCTTACAGTTGCATTGGGGCCAAGTCAACCGGCTGGTTGGGATCTAACACAAATGGATTTTTCGGGGAAAATTGACCCTCACCAAATCACCCATTTCGGTCCAAAATGGTCCAAGTGGGTAAGTATCTTTAGTGGCTTTCCAAAGCTGCAAAACATTCAAGATCTGATCATCTCAAGTTTGTCATCAAAACCTCAGCACTGCCAACATCCTGCGAAAAAAAAGACCATCTGCATCTGCTCATCACCAAAATATGCGATGAAATCCATGTTTTGTCTGAAAATAGGCTACCGCTAAATCCATCTAAATCCACTGTTTGTCGTCATGTGCCCTGTTAAAATAGCCATTGTTGGGGTGTACTATGTGTACTGAGGCACGGACTAAGCTGCCACATGGCATTGGCCCTCTGGGCGTAATTGGCATGCCTGAAATGAGGCAAAAATCGGAGTCGCCGAACCAACCATCAACCGATCTCGGGATTCGGGCCAGCTAAAAACGGGATTTGGGAGAGTACAGTAATATGATCTAAATCTAAATTGTTTTAAGCCTAAGCTGTCAACATTTGGTGAGAACCAAGCAATGCAGGGTGATTTCATCTACCAAAATGGGTGTAACTGCCCATTTCACTGGCAGTTTGCAGATTGGAGTTGACATGATGGAGCCCCATGTAGATAGGAGCAGGATGGAGCAGGGCTATAATGGTATCCCGTTCCCATTATATCCCATCATATCCCATTGTTTCTTGGTTGACGACCCCCTTTCTTTATCAGGGGGATGGCTATCCGCCCCTATTTTTCATGGTGAAACCATGGAAAACGCCCTTGCCTGGAGGCGCCATGCCGCCCGGCATGCTGTAGCCTTCCCAGGTGTGCCGAGCAAAATGCTAGGAATTGGATGATCATGCTCCAAAGTCCGAAAAGATGGTGCAGATGGTACAATACAACTATAGATAATAGATATTGATCCATGCCTGCATTGGATCATGCTTGATCATGATTGGTCATCTTAAGATTGGCTTCCTGTTTTCCCCGTCGATGATTTTTCCTGAAAACTCACGAAAGTACATGATATTTGGAGCCACTTGGGTTTGTTCAACAATAAGGTACCCCAAATGTTTGATGGTTCATCATGGCTCATCATGGTTCATCGATTTCCCAATTACAATTGGATCCATTCGGTGGCAAATCTTCCCTCATTGGAATTGGTGGGGAATTGATGACCCATGACGACCTCAAAATTCAAGTGGATTAAACCTCGTTTTCCCCATGACATTGGTTATCTTGAGGGTACTTTTTGATTGTTCATCCCTACAATTTGCCGGGTATACCCTCTAGTAATCGAGCACGGCTTGATGAAAAATCCCGCATTGTTTAGATAATGTTCCCATCTAACCTCTATTATCTCTATTTATAGTGGTGTTTCCATGCGTTTCCCATACCTTCCCAATTTTTCCTACGATTTTTGCATGAAAACCTCCACGTTTGATGATCCCGCAAGGTATCCCAAATTTCAGATCCACTTCCCTTCTCTTTCCACCTTGAGGTGCTGGAATGGTCGCCCCTGTGTGAGGGTCCTAGGGTTTTTTTCGGCCAGGCATCGGGGGGAAGATGACCGAAATTGCCAACCTTCACATGACCTTCACATTCAAGTCAGAGAAGAAGTCGGAAAAATAAGATTGAGATCTGTGGGTTGCAACATATTACAACAAAACTCTATGCTAGAGTATTGGGCAAAATTCCATCCGCAATCAGCTCCCAAGCTCATTGTTCAGCTGACTCACTCTCCTTGAGAGTGAGCGCCAACTGTAGCGGCTGCTGAGCTCTCTTATCAACAACCTGAGGAAACAGCAGCAGCTTCATCAACGGTTCTATAGTATGGCGCCCATCGCCATCCAAATGTGTATTTTACACCAAAACTAGGGCACCAGGGTACCCCAAAATCTGGTAGAATTTCAAACATTATTTTCATCAGTATCTAATGGCCACCATTTCCACTCACCATTTCCACATGGAGTGCATCTCACATCGCCACTGAATGATTGGGGATTACAGTTCCAGAAAATCTATTGTAAATTGTATGGTTATGATTTTCAGTAGATGATTAAAACAACAAAAGCATACAACTGCGCAACATGTTCTTTAACCAATCACCCGCACAAACAACTGACACAACTCCCGCACCTCTTTCCAGAGCTCGCGTTCGTGCCGTATTCTATCCAGCTGGCTCTCAATATGCTGCTGGGAGATCTGAAGGAGTCGTAGCACCGAATGGTCCGCCTATCAGAGCCGTGGCTGTGGAGAAAACCCCTGTTGATGATTCAATGGGAAACTAGCATTTAAATATGTTCAAAAAATCAAGCAGTAAAAAAATGGTATAATAGTTAATAGCGATAAATGGTTGGTTGATGATTGTAGGGGTTTGCATTATCTTCATGATGTTTGAAGGGTTTAATATCCAATAGATTGAGGACTTTCATCCACTGGAATTCCCATGCTGAACGCTGCGAACCCTCCTGGGTCAACAATTTTGAGCCCCAACGGTCTGCCCTCTTTAAAGGCCTGTTTTTTGCATGCTCATAGAAAGCATTTGCATGGGTAGTGGTATGAGTCAAGATTCAAACATCATAAATAGATATAAATGGATTCGAAACCATGATGGCTTTCATCATATATTGAAAATAAAAACAATATTAATCTCAATTTTGACTCACAGTCAAATGAAAAGAAAGACCAAGGCCCTACATGCTTGCTCCATGGGTCATTCAAAGTTGACCTCTCATTGAAAAGGAAAACGCCAGGCTTCAGGAATTTATCATGCTTCCATGCCACCATGGAAAGGTGATTCAGGTGATGTTCGGGGCAACAAAATCATCAGGTCTTCAACAAAATGGCAACTGGGTAAAGATCATGGGTTCCTCCTTCCACTGCCTTCTTGCTCACCAGGTCAAGAATACTTCGATATTTCCTGGGGACACACTCCACGCAGCTGCGGCTTTTCCGAGGTAAATGGGAAATGTTCTCTGGGAACCTGCTATGATGTTCCAAAGGAGACTGTGTCATGATATCTCATTTGTGACCATCTATGCAACATTATGCAACACCTGCAGCAAAATCAAGAATGAAACCTTCTTAGGTACATTTTTCAAGACATTCAAATTTTGAGGAGACTGATATAGGGTTTCTTAAAATGGGCCCCAAATTCATCAAATCTATTGATCCTTTTTCATGGGAAAACTGATGGTGATAAGGGGTCCTCCATTGGAGGAAACCCTAGATATTTTCCTCCATCACAGCATGCTGTCCTACGAGCTGCTGTTTCATGTCATACCAAGCCTTCCAAAAATCTGACATCACCTTCAAATCTCTTGGTCTGCCACCGTAGCTACTGACTCTGAGGGGGATAAAGTGGAACATGATCCTCATTTAAATTCATCGCAGAAAAGTAATATACCTGTATGTATTTCATCAAAGATTCACCATGACTTATATCACATACCCAGTCAGATTAGCGCTATATTCTCAATAGATCATTGGTTAATCATGCTAAATCCTCATTTGATGGGCAAAAAAAATGTTTATTTTATGGATGGCTATCCCAACGAAAGGTTTAGCCAATAACATTTAGGGATGAACATAACATATGTATATTAAGGTATACACATATTATATATATATATGCATACACATAATCCTTACATAACATACTGTATAATGTTCCATTTTTTTCTTGAGAGATTCCCAAACCCTAGGGTGAATTTCCCCTCAAATGACATTTAAATGCCTCACTCCCCTCACAAAACAGTCACAACCGCCATGGACTCAAAACTGGGGAAGAATCCCCATTAGGTCAAATGACATGTCAATGGGTATGTCTGAAAAGGGTTGTTGACCCACAATTAGCCATAGTTGTTGACCACTTATCTCATCAAAGTCATATCACCATTCAGACTTTTCGAGACACACATCCATTGTTCGTTGTTGAAATCCCATGGCGACATCCCATGAAAATCCTATGTCATTTGTGGGATTTCAATTCCCAACTTGGGAATTTCTCTAAAACACAATGAACATGGGATATTTCACCAACCATGATAGGCCGGGATGTTCATGGGAATTTAGGATATTCACCAATTTGGAGAGAAATGTTTCGCACAAAAACATCAGAAAAATGTCATATCGCCAAGCAGTGAAAATATCCCCAACAAAAATTTCCTTTTATGACAGGGTGATCCTATGAAATGGTTGTTAAATGATTGAACATCACCCAACTATTGCGCAAAAAACAACAACAACTCCAACAACCTCCGTGATATCCCCAGTATAATTGGTATTCCGTACATATTCCATACATCCGGACAAATTACTAGAATTCCATAGATATTCCATGAAAAATTACCTTAGTATCCAAGATATCCTTTGTGTATCCCATATATTTTCATATATTTTTTTTCCATAGATATTCCTTCCATATACGTATACTACTTAGTATATGTTAGTATCCCATATCACCTTTGTGAGCAATTCCAGAAAAGCCGAGCCACTGGGAGGAGAGCTGGCGCCAGGTCTTGTCCACTCGAGCCACCAAGTTCTGGGCACAGTCCTGGACACCACCAGGGCATTCCACATGGGAACCATGCCATAAAAGCAGAAAACATTGGGATCTGGTATAGAATGGTATATATAATGCAACCCCGTGGCAGTTTACCGGGTCCGGTTGGGGCCTGTGATTTTCTACTAGAAAATGAATGTTGTATAAATTAGGGACCCAAGAAAATCTAGCTACAGACATCAAACCAATTCGAGCTACCCTAGAAAAATGGCACCCCCCAAGAAGTGCATTTTCGAAGCTATGGACCGTATTTTTTCTTAGAAAAACATCACCCTGCTTGAATGGTATAATGTTGAAAATCGAAATCAAAATTTTTGAAAACAACTTCCAGGGAATGGTTCCATTTTTCTAGAGACCAACATCCAACCCATCGAATTTTTCGAATTATTCGAATTTCATCGAAATTCCATCCCATTAACATCCCTCAAAAATACCATCGAAATTACCCCAAAGATGCCCAAAGTGCGATTCTAATGTAATAATAATAATCATCATCATTATTATCACCAATCCTGTCCTGACTGTGATTTTTGGTGGTCGATTTGGAACCACTTACCCACCGGTTCTTCAATTTGGATCTACGCTAGTTTTATCAGGACTCTAAGAGGTGGTGCCCTAGATTTTAAGATATTTTAAGCATGTTTAAACAAAACAAAATGACCTACCAGTGCCCCTCTAGAAAAGGACTCTAAGAGGTGGTGCCCCTCTAGTGCTATTATATGATATGATCTGATAGGATAGGGATAATATGGGATAATATGATAAGGAATTGATATGATATGACTTGATAAGTAACATGAAAAACAAAGAATATGCATAGGCAACATAATGGGACTATGATGGAGAATAATAGGAAAATAACATATGAATGACCAACAATATCCAACAATATAATGTTCACCGGCTTGATTTCAAGGAACATTGCAGAAACCAGTGCGAGGGCAGTGGTCCCGTAAAATTCCTTCATCCAATTGTGAAATTAAATATCGAAACCCCAGAAAACAAATACAGTACCCGGTACCGCCGGCAGCCCTTAAAATTGCCATTTCAACTTCCCCACATGATTTGGTGCGCGGTTTCGTTCGGCAAAAGAATTCTGACTCCCCCAACAAAAATGCTACACCCACCCGACCCACCCCATCTCAGCCCACAAAAAATGGGCTCCTCCCAGTTCAGCAGCTCGACATCCACATCCAACTCCTCCTCAGTGCCGTCGTTCATGCGTGCCCCTGGGAACACGCCAACCACCTGTGGCGCAAGGGGACCGAACGATTAGGGCCACTTGGAGGGTCACAAATATACGATGAAGTCATTTGGGGACGGGTTGACATTTAGGACCCGGATCTAATTGGGACATTCATTCAATTATTCTATTTGGATCTATTTTGGACATATTGGGATTATAGTTTGGATGAGGATCTTAATCGTGTTCCATTAATACAGTAACACCCAGCAATTTCACAAACCAGGGATGGCAGATTTCCTTCGGATGCATCTTGTTCAAAAAACATCGGAAGGTGGTCCACAGACAAGACAAGTGGATCTTTCCCTCTTGCTGTACAGCATAGAATATCAAAGGGGTACCTGTACCTGACAGAAAAATTGCACAGGAGCAATGGAGGAATCAACTTGGCAAACACTCTGCGACCCTGCAGCCCTTGTAATACGAACCCGCGCTGGCCATCCTTTTGCTTCCCTGCAAATCTTGCAGTGTGTCGAAGCTATGAGGTCCACACGGGGTTTAGAAACGGCTCCTCCCGCCATGACATTGAACATGCAGGGGGAGTATGAGGGAGTTATTTCTCTCAGCCTGCCCCCTCTTCATCTTCGTCATCTTCCTCATCTTCCTCATCTTCCTCATCTTCCTCATCTTCCTCATCCTCCAACTGCCCTCGGCATCGGAAGCGATGCATATCTTCGCATCCCACGCATACAGCCCGATCGCACACGCCACAGACGCGGGCGTGCCGGCCACAGGCGTTGTGCCAACTGTCAGTGCCGCAGCACATGCACTGAATGGTCTTGCCTTCCTGAAAACAATCCCAGCCTGGCTGGTGGTTGGGCCACAACTAAGGCCCCCACCCAAAAAATAAAAAGTTAATTCGGATCGTCATCCCATTTCCAGGGAGAAGTACATCTAGAAAACATGTTAAAACGTTTTGAAACCACCAGCCCAGCAGCAATGTGTGGCAGAAAAATCGGGGTTTCATCACAGAATATATCCCTTTTGATAGGCCCTCGCAGTGCGCATTCATCGCACCAAATTCTGCAACAGAGTTTGCACTCCAGGGCATCCAAGTCGCAAGCAGTCCACTCTTTACATTTCCGGCATTTTACTACATCGTGGTCTGCAACGAACTTCGCCAACCTGAGATTTGCTTTCAGATCTTTCAGGGTCCCATAAAACAAAATATGTCAACATATTCCCGGTAGATAGCCCCAAGTGGATTTCCCGTTGGAAAAAGTCTATCGTCTTTGCAAACCCAGGCAACTGATACAGCCTCTGGGCATAATCCTTGGCAGTGTCCTCATCTCTGTCGGGCCAATAGACATCCTCACCGCGATGACTTTCCAAAGTTCGCTGACTGTAGGAGTCGCAAAGAGTTTCCCAGAGATCTGACCGTTGAACAGAAAGCTGCACGGCTGTGCTGCTGACCTCTGAAATCCCTAGCTCCTTGGCATCCAAAAACGGTAGAGAAAGCTTCAGACATCGCAAGGACTCCATGGAAACAATTGCTTCAAAAGTCAAGGGTGCTGTTGGGCATTGCATTCAGTTAAAGGTAGAATTACGTCAGCGCCCCAAAAAAACATTCAAACCATGCGGTTTATTCTCAATTATGGGCTTGGCGGCTGTCCATCTTGCAGTGCATTTTTTCCTGTTCTGATAGGAGCGTTCGATAAGTGTGGAAAGCTCTGTGGGATCAAATCCTTGATACCCGGGATCGCTGGTATCGCTGCTTGAAGGATATTCAAGGTAGCTATCAGCCTCTACTGAGGATTTCCATTTTCCTTTCCTGTTCTGGTTATTTCTGGTTGGTGGTTGGACTTGAATCCATTCGCTAAGAGCAAGTCCACGTGCTTTGGACTCTCAACGTGAGAAAATCAAACAAAAATTACCGATTCTTCAGTTCTGTTCCCATCGTTGGCTATCTGCCTACTCTCAATCGAAATGACCCCATTCTTCTTACTAGCTACAATCTCCCCATTCTTGCTTGTGCATTCCAGTTAGTATATCATCAGTAACTTAACACTTTACTGACTATACCAGATACTAAATGATACATATTAACATATGTATAACATAGTAGTCTATATATAAGTGTGTATATACATATATTATATATAGTTTATAGAGTATATTGATGTATATTGTTAGTATGTGACCCTGGCATCTACCGCTGTACCACCAAATCACGCCCTTTGTTGCCTGGCAAAGCTTCACGGCTCCGCGGGTCAGCTTTGTGACATTGTCCTGGATCGTTTACAATGGAAACTCCTAGTAAAATGGATGGATTTGGGGGTAACCCCCTTTTAGGAAACCTCCATTTCGGAAGAGGAAAAACATGAGTTTTCCATCGTTTGATATTAGCTTACTGGAGGGTATAATGTAAATGTAGAGCCAGTTTCCCGGTGTTTCTGGTAAATGTTTCCGTGAAATTCACGGGAAAAAAAACATGTTTGGCAAAGCAAAGCACCTGGTCACCAAGTAATCAAGGGGTGACCCCCCACATCCGCCCACCTCTAAACTCAGGAAGTTTTTTTCGTAGACCTTCTGATCCAACTCTTCATAGATTCCATCCTTAGCAAGTTGCAGCGGTGTTTTCAAACTGGAAAATCTCTGAAGTCACCAACTAGTTGCAGAACGAAAGGAACCCTGCCCAAGCAGTCATTTGGTGTTTTCTAGGATTACCCTCCATAAGATTTCTACATTAAGATATAGAAATTCATGTTTTTTCTCCAACATCTTCCCGTTTTCGTTTTAAACAAATTTATTGGAAGGTACAAGCGAAGGTTACAAACCACATATACAAAACCGCAATGTAGTAACTTCTGAGGTCTCAACGACATCCTGCTTGTGGCGGTTGTTGTCCTACGATGAGATTGCCCCCAAGAGTGAGCTATGCAAACAAATCATGTTTCAATGGTGAGTAAAATTCTATATCAGTCACAGTTCACTGGTTGCTTTAAAGTATTCCCATGAAACAGAAAAAACATCTATAAGGAAGACTAAGCGTTTCAGTTGCTGAATCTGTCTCGCTCGTGCCAAAGTTATTGGGATCCTCGTGAAAGATAGAGACGCCCCTGAGGGAAAATTGTTGAGATGCCTACGGGTTCCCATTCGAACCAGCCAGACCCCAACAAATTTGAAACATATTATATAAATATCAAAAAAGAACAACTCCGACTATGAATTCATGGAAAAAATGATGCCAAACCGCGAAACTTACAAAAATAAAGGAAAAAAACACATCTTCACAGGACAAAACCAACAAGGAAAGGGAAAACCGAAGGCTGCCTGGCGTGCTGGTTTCACCCCATCTCGTTGATGTTGGTTAAGCACCCCCCCGATAGCTGAAACCATCAAACACTTTTCCGTTCGAAGTTTCTGGTTGGTAGTTGGGCCACCCCATCCCTTGAACATGATCGCCAATCCGTATCAGCAACTTTAATACCGATTAAAGTTGCTCTGTTGGTGGTAAGACCATCATTTTCAAATTTTTGGTCCATTATATCTCCATTATATCTCCAATAAAAATCATTCAAAATCCATGATATCCCATGGACAAATGCTTTGCTTCGAGTGATCCCCACCATGGCATTTCAAGGCATATATTCTGACTCTGACATATATATTCTATGATCATACAAATCCGCCATCTCACAAAAGAAGCGCTGCATGGTATGCTATGGTTTTAGAGCGAACCAACACAGCACAAGAAGTGGTTGGCCTCCCTTTGCCCTGGGGAGCGATGCAGATAGGTCCGAAATGCATCACTTCGGTCAAGGGATGTCCCACAAGCCCAGCGTTCGACAACATCCCAGGAGGAACGGGACAGCCAAAGTTGCCCCGCCGTGACGATGGGAATGGCTGCATGAACTATTTTTATTGCCAAGGCAACTAATCTGATCACCATGGGGGGATTCTAGCATTCTATCTGACATTCTATCAGGCATTCTATCTGACATCTCTTCTGACATTCTATCTGACATTCCATGTGACATCTTGCACTCGCAATTGGGGCCCTGCAGTGCCCACTCGCAGTTGAGGTCCGCCAGTGCCCGCTGAGCTCTGGCGCTCGCCGTTGAGGTCCGGCAGTGCCCACTGACATCTGGCGCTCCCGGTTGAGGTCCGGCAGTGCCATTGAGCTTTGGAGCTCGCGGTTGCGCTGAGCTCTGGAGCTCCAGTGCCCACTGAGATCTGACTCTCGCAGTTGAAGCAGAGGCGGAGGCGGAGATGGGCGGGCCAGCTCTGATAAAACCTAGAGACCCTCACCTGGCAGGTGGGTACTACCAAAAATTGGGTGACTATACCTAATTTTGGCTGGGTAATTTTGGTTGGGTAAGAAAATCCTATCAGATTACAAATCCCGATTTGGTTGGTGATATGTCCCCATCATTATCCTCATATCTCATTACTGTACCAATTTGGGGTTACTTTCCCACTGCCCCTAAAAAATGTATAAAAGATTGATCCTAAGAATGTTTCTAAACTCATATTATAGCAGTATAACAACTCAAAAATTATTCAAAAAAAAACATAACAACCAACCACAATTACCTCATTCATTCCTAAAAATCATCACTACCTACCATCAATCACCTCATTCATTCCACAAAATCATCACTACATACCATATCATCATCTCATTCATTCCTCATAAATCATAACTACTAACTATCTATTACCTCATCCATTTCACAAAAACGTAGCAGTCAATACATCATCACCTCATCCATTCCATACCCAAAACCAAACAACAACCCAACAAACAAAAAAACAAACAAAGCAAAGAACAATATAAAGAACAAAGCAACAAACAACAATAAATATTATTCCTTAGTCTTTAATAATCCCATCTTTCAAATACATAATTCTAATAGATAAATATTATTAGAAATATGTTAGTAGTAAATGTCTTCAATAATTACTAATTTAAAATGAAATGCCTGTATTCCTATTATACTATCTTTATCTCGGTCTTCTTCTATGTCGGTTTTTATTTCTTCAACTGCTTTCTCTAATATTTCATCTATATTATCTTCATCTACATATTCATCAAAGTCATTCATAAAATAAATCTCTCTATAACTAAATTCATTTTCTCCATATTATTTCCTTTTCTGGGAGTTTTGCCACTAATTGAACTTCAATATCAAGTTTAACTCTATAATTTGAATCATCTTCTACTTCATCATAATCAAAGTTAGTAATTCTTCTTGTTCTTCTTTTATTATGTCTTCTATACTTTTCAAACTAAATGGCGCTCCCTCTCTCATAATACAGCACTCAATTACATATATTTTTTCTTGATTTCAAATGTCTTGTTATTTAAGGACCAAGTCTTGAAATCTTATATTTGTTTTGTATTCTCTTTAATGCCTCAATATGATTATATTTAAATTTCAAATATTTAGGGTCTCCAATCTTATAAGACACAATTTTACTCAGCACATCAACAGGTAAATCCTTCACACAATCCATCCTATAACTATTCTTTAAGTATATATTCAAAGATTAAATTAAGGCATTCTTTAGAAAAACTACTTAAAGATAAATTAACTAAATAAAATATATACTATTATATGATGAAAAAAGTTATAGACTATTTATTGAGTAATGATTTAGCAGAAATACCAAAAAAGAGGAAGAAAAGAATTGAAAACAATAGTAATAGACAACAAGAAATTTAGATACAACAAAAACAAACCCGTACCAAATGTTTTAACAAAGAAACTATTATCAGTAAAGAAAACCAATGAATACAGAAGTTATGCTTTAAACAAGGCAAAGGATGCGTTTAGTGAAGGAAAGTCAGAAACCTACTAACCAAACACGCAATACAAAACAAATTTAAGGTCAGAGATATTCAATCAGCATTTAGAAGATATGCTAATTCAATAGTTTTAGAAAATAGACATTTTGAAGGAGAAAGAGGTTTGGAAATGATTGCTCATCAAAAACAAAGACTGTTCGAATTTCTAAGAAAGAATAGAAGCATGAAACTTATTTGAAAAACCTGAATATGATGATGGAGGAAATGAAATTGGAAGTCAGGAACTTGTGTATGCTCTACCATCAACGCGCTTTAATATCAGTAATGAAGATGAACTAACACAAGCATTAGAAGACAGTGTTAAACAAATCTTATTACAAATACAAAATTTAGAAGCATCAGCATCAAATTTACGCTTCAAAAAGATTTTGACAATAACTATTCACTATGACAAATATGACCCAACAAGAGCAGGTAGATACATAGAATTACCAGAATGGATTAAGTTAAAAAAGGCATGTATCAACATCAAAAATAAAGACCAAAAATGCTTCAAATATTGTATTCAATCCGTAGTCTATGACAAAATTAGCAAACATCACCCAGAGAAAATGTTTCACTATAACAAATTGAAAGATGATATTTTGAACTGGGATGGTGTGAATTTTCCAACGGGTAATAGGGACATAGACAGGTTTGAAGAGAACAACAAGTTAGTTTCAAGAAATGCTTTTGAACCTGATGACTGCCTAAATGATAATAAAATTATCTTACCTAGAGGCACTAAAAACAGAAATGCTAAATACGAAATAGATTTGTTAAAAGTCTATGATGAAGATAATCACTATCATTTTGCATTAGTAAAAAACAAATGTAGATTATTAAACTGTCAGAGCAGTAGCAACACTAATAAAAAGTTTTACTGCCACCATTGCTTAAATCCATTTCAATCAGAAAAGGCATACAAGAACCATCTTGAAAAAGGATGTATGGCATCGGAAGGACAACAAACAAAGATGCCTGATAAAGACACTTATATAGAATTTGAAAAACATAATACTAAATTGCCTTGTCCTTTTGTAATCTATGGCGATTTTGAATGTCTAACCACTAACTCGAACAATGGAATAAAAGGCACATATCAGGAACATAAACCGTGCGGTTATATGTTAAATGTAGTAAGCAGGATTGATAATACATGCCAACCATACTTACACAGAGGTGAGGATTGTATGAAAAAGTTTGTAGAAAAACTGGCTGAAATTAAGAGAGATATATTTGAAAAAATGAATGTTAATAAACCAATGGATGAATTAACTTACGAACAAAAGACAGAATTTAGACGAGCAACAAACTGCTCCATATGTGGTAGGAATTTTCAAGAAGACGATACAAAAGTCCACGACCACTGCCACTTCACTGGCAAATACAGAGGCGCGGCACATGTAAAATGTAATCTGGATTATTCATTTAAGTTTTTTAAAATCCCTATCTTCTTTCATAATCTTAAAAACTATGACGCACACTTAATCATAGCAAAAGCAAATGAACTAAACATAGAACTAAACCAAAACAAAAGAATAGATGTAATAGCACAAAACAGCGAAAAGTTCATAACCTTTTCATTCGGTGCTTGTCAGTTTAAAGACAGTTTCGCTTTCTTAACTGCTTCATTAGATAAGTTAGTTAGATTGAATAAATATGAAGGAAATGAAAAAATAAAAGATTGGGAAACTCATTTCAGATATACAAGCACCAACCCATATATAAAATCTAAAACTGATTTGAATCTACTGACTGACAAAGGAGTGTATCCATACGACTACATGAATTCATGGGATATATTTAGTGAAACAAAACTACCAAAGAAAGAAGACTTTTACAGTCAATTATATGAAGAAAATATAACCGACAAAGACTACGCCAGAGCAAATATTGTATGGAAACATTTTAACATAAACAATCTTGGTGAATATCATGATTTGTATTTGATGACTGACGTATATTTACTAACTGATGTTTTTGAAAATTTTAGGGATATGTGTTTGAACTATTACGGTTTAGACCCAGCATATTATATCACTTTACCTAACTA